GGAAATGACTTCACAGAAATGTCACTGAAAAAGAGCCAGGAAAAATCCTGTTGAGAAGCTCTTTGGTATCAGCATTAAAACTGTAGGGCTGGGAGTCAAGAAATCTTGACTGATTGCAGGCTTTCCTTCTTACTGTGGAAATGCTGCTTTGCTTCATGGCTCCCTGTTCTCCACCTTGTAAAACAGAATGATGGAATCATCATGTATCTTCAGGTGTATAGCAAGGAGCAGCCCATTCCATTAGTTATTTATCCTCTTCACAAAATTCCAGATGTTCAGAGGAGACTTTAGAAGTTTGCTCCCCAGATCAAGTCTGCTGCACCTCTCATTTCTCTGTTCATACCATGATTGTCAATTGGCCATGAATCAGCAGCATGATCAGGAGCAGGTTTTTTGGTCAGGCTTACTTATCCATGGCTGTTCTCACTTAGGCCTGACTCCAGCCTAGTCTTCAAATGCCTGAGGGTAAGGAGAGAACTTGGCTTGCTCTGTGTCTGTATATTCAATCAAAAGCTTTATCCCTCTATTTATAAAATTCTTTAAATCTTATCCACAGGAAGCTGTATGAGTTAAAAGTATTTTTTGCTCTTTAATGTTATTTACAGCAACAAGCGATCAAATCCAAAGATGGTATTTCTGGATAATCTGTAGTGTACAAAACATTGCTATATAATTTCTTTTGCTTTTCTCCTCTCAGGAGGTGCTTACTGAGGAGTTTCACATAGTGCTGTCATTAGCCTTCTTTGATTTGAAGAATTGTAGTTCAGTGTGCTTTTTTAAGTGGTAACTTAGATATACTGTGTTATATGAAGACCATCTTAGGGTTATGTTTTCATTATTTATTTATAGGAACTATTTTTGCTACAGTAAAATATGAGAACTGACATTTTAATAGTTATATAGGAATGTTCTTAATAGATTAGGAAGTATGTTCACCTAGAAGTACCTGTGTTGAGATAACTCCCAAGCTTAGGTTCCACTGTTGTCATTGGAATTGCTTGGTTCAAGAGTAGCCAGGTCACAGGAGTGACTAAAAAGTAGCTGAGGCAAGAAATTCCAGTTTTATGTCTACTACTGGTTTGAAGAAAACAATTCAGACTAGAAGTAAGATAATGCTCTAATGTGAAAGCAAATTAAGTAACTGATAAAACATAATGGCTTTATGTAATTTTTTTTTTTTTTTTTTGAATGGGGGAGCAAAATTAAGCCAATTTAAAAAGAAGACATTCTTCTGCTAAATTTAGCACTTTGGAAAGTGCTAGATCAGCTTTTATTTGATTCAAACAAAAGAGATTTCCCCAGGGGTAAAAAAATTTTTAAGCTGAAATTTTGAAGTTAAACTATAGACCATAACTAAAGTAAAAGATAAGTTTGATGTAACTTGTTATAAAAGACTAAAAAAATCAGATAAATAATTTTAATGTCATTCAGATATTTAATGAAATCCTTTAAAATTATGATCTGCATTTCTTTGAATTTAAAAATATGTTACTAAATGCTAGTTGACATTTCTAAATTAGGTACTTGCCACTTCATAAGTGATATAATCAGAAAAGTACTTCTCAGGGAATGATGGAAGGTGTTTTTATCATCTTCTCACTGTTGTCATGGAAACTTGTGTGTATCATTGTTAAACAGACTGTACATAAGGATCTAACATTCCTGTGACTTACAATTGCCAGCTATTGTATTTTTAGTGTATTTTCACCAACATTGTAGTCAATGCTTAGGAATTGTGAGTTGCTCTCCTCAATTACAGCCATGAACACAATTACAGGATTAGGCGCTCCAGAGACCCCATAGTACAGGGTTCTCTGTTAAAAGGTTCTTTTCAATACAGGGTTATTAACAGTTTTATTTCCTAATCCATTGTAGCCTACTATAAGCACTTAAAAATTAATATTCTCTCTATTCAAGGAGACTATTTTGACACCACTTTCTTTCACCAGCTATCCATTAGTCATTATAAATTCTGTCTTGAAAACTTTGGATCTTTTCTGCATGTGGATTTTATATATTATGTGCTTTTTTTTTGGACACAGTGCTAAATTCATAATATACCTCTTGTGTATCATTGTCTTAACCTATCATGCTTGGAACAGCAGGCTGAAAGAGAAGCTTGACTGGAAAATCCAGATTTAAGTGCTCCTGGACACAAAGGATTGTTAAAATCTTATGATGGGCACAACTGACAATGTAGGAAAAAAAAGGTAAATTCTCCCCCCTCGCCCCCCCCCCCCCCCCCCAATGAGATTTAGGAATCAGTAATTTTAAGCACAATAAAAGTGTTGTATCTTTTGCATAAGTAAAGGTTTGTTTTGTCTTTTTGTGTTTGGAGTTACTTCAAAATATAGCTTCTGCATCAATTATTTATGACTTGAAATTACTTTTATTTTTTTAAAAATTGAGTTACTTAAATACATTTTTCATCATTGAAGAAGTGACTTCATTTATCTCAAAAGTATTCATTAAATTTATTTTCTCATCCTGGCCTGTCTGGTTTCATCTTTTGGGGAGTTTTCTGAACACTCTTTTGAAATTTTAAGGCTATTATTTTAAATAACCGTCAATGAAGAATGGAGGTTTTGTGTTAGAGTAAGCTGTCTGTAGCAATTTGATGCAAATTTAACTTATCTAAGAATCACAGTAAGATGGATTATTCAAGAACAGTAAAGTTGTAAAGATTTTTTTAAAGATATATCTTACTATGTTGGTATTCTGTTCAGAGAGTTACAGTATCAGGACTAGTAAAATACGAGTACAGAAATATGAAGAAGAAAAAACTGAAATACAAGTAACACTGTGGCCTTAGTTTCTAGAAAAATGCATTCATAACCTTCAGTAAGTGAGGGTTATAGGTTGAAAATTAAATTTATAGGAAATGTGTACTTTTCACTTCCTGCTCCAGGAGATTCTGTCAGTTCAAGCAGTTGAATTCAGTGTAGTGCCACAAGAAAAAATCCTGGCAAGTAAACATGCCAATCTATATGACTAAGAACTAAGAACCTGTACATAAGAGAAATGCATATTTTCTATTATTCCAGATTACAGTCAGCTATATATGAATGTATAGTCATAGGAGGAGATATACTGAGCTTTTTAGGATTTATTGAGGCAAAATGGAAATACAATCATGAATGATTTTAGCTGGGATTTGTAGAAAAATAGAATTTACAAACTTTATATATTCCTGTATCTTTCTTTCAAAGGATTTAGTTTTGGATTAAATGGAAATTTTGTGAACGGAGAACTTTGATCTTTTATCCAAACTTTTCTGCATTAAGAGAAAAGCTGTAACTCCCTCTGCTGCTGAATGTGATTTTACTTTTATGGACACCTCACACAGTGACCCAGTCAGCTGATGAGTTTGTTTTGTAGCCATCTTCTGTAGAACAGCCTTAGGAAATCTGAGTCACAAGTTGCAGAGCAGAGGGAAGAAAGCTGGGGTGTGTATTGCTTCCCACTGGTTACAGGGCAGCAGCTGTGGGTGCATTCAGCACATGTGAGCTTTGGGACTCCGCATTCTGTAGGTAATGGGAAAAAATATCCTGACTATTCATTGCTGTAATGCACTGGGAAGAGTTGGGAGTGCTGAAGAGCTCATCTGCTATGCCCCAATGCTGTCAGCTCTGGTGGACTGCTGCACCTTGGTGAACACTTGAGTAAGGGGACAGAGGCTTTATGACAAGAAAGGGAAATGCCACAGCAGTTGGGTGGAGTGGATTAAACAGTTGCAGTGCAGCCAAATGCGGCATCTCAGCTCCTGATCCATCAGCTTGCAAAAGGACCTGTAGGAGGGATAGGTTTTCAGGCTTCTGGTTAAAATGAAAATAGTGAGGGAGTGGAAATATCAGATTCCTTCATTGTTGAGAATTTAATTTCTTGACAAATGAAAAACTAGGAAAATATAGATAGATAGAACTTTGTATCCCACGTAGAAAATACTGTTTCTAGGCTTAAAAAGTATTGTGTAAACATAGTAAGCAATTACAAATATTGGTAGAAAAATGAAGTGGAGGTCTTGGGGTAATTTTAATGGCTTATTTTGGTTTATTTTAATGTATTGTTCCTCATCACAGGTAAGGCTACATCTATATGTCGTAATCCTGTGCCCTGATACATACTCTCCCTTCTGAATTAGTTAATTTCTCAGGATAATGAGTTGTGTGGGAAAGAGTTTATTAACTCAGGTTACATGGCTTCTGGTATCTAGATTAGATTGATTATTGTTATAGTTGAGTACCATACAGACATCTGAAATGCTCTGCCATCAAAATCCAGTTAGGCTAGACAATGTCTGAGAGTGTGAGTTTACAAAAAATGTCTGTTTCGGTATCTATTAGACATTGAAAATTCTTTAGGTTTTCTGGGATTCAGAAATCAGAATTCTAACATCTCATTTGTATTTGTCCTTAAAAATATCATTGCCACTCTCTGCTTTACCAAAACATTGAATAAAATAACTTTTATTGAATGAAAATCCTAGCTTAGAGCCATGAGGTATTTGCAGGTTCTGAAGTGCTGATGATGAGTGCAGTGTTAATGATCTGACAAATACAAACTCGTGGGTAAGTTTTTTCTCTAAATAGAGTAATCTCTTGAATTTCTCTAGTTAATGTGAACTGGTATTTCATGTTCAGGGAGGTTAAGACTGGCAGGCTGAGATTCCTTGCATTTTTCTGTTTTTGATTGTGGTGCTGATAGCCTAACTATGAACTTCCTTATCCAAGGCTGCTAGGAACTTCCAGTCTGAGTATTTCTAGAAAAGAGAAGTGATTGATTCTCAGCACTTAAAAATGCCTTGTGTGCTTTTTGAAAAGACACCACCGTCTGTGTTGTGTTGAATTAATTGTAGTTATTTTGGTGATGTCTGTGTGTGTCCAGTAAGAGCAGAAAATAACATTTTAATTTCAGGGATGTCTGTGGGTTGATTTTTAACTGACTGGAAACAGGATAGCTAAAGTGCTACCTTTACCTCTGTTTTTTTTTTTTTTAGGTTTTCAGTCCAGAATTGAAAGGAGTATATTCATGTATGTATAATATGCATGCATCTCAGTATAATGCTGTGCAGATTTTCAGCTGAAAAAACTTGGTCCTTAGTTTGCAGCCTATGTTCAAGCACCCCATGAGGAACTCTGCATTAAATAAGTTTGACTTTATGAGGTTTCTGTTATCTTTACCAGGGCAAATATGGGTTCTGCTGTTCTGTGAAGTGGTAGACTAGTCCTTTCAGCCCAGCAGTACATATAGATATTGAGTATATCAGAAGGCTTTTAGGGGTTATGCCCAAGAATTCCAGAGGTATTGTTTGTTCAGGGACACAGCTGATCATCACTGCTAACTTGTTATGTGTATCAGGGCCAAAACGAGATGAAGCCTTTTAACTTTCCAGGCTAACAATTCCCAAATGTTAAATTCCCAAATTTCTTAAAAGACTGATAAAGGGACAGGGAGATGGTGGGGCTCTGGCCAGATGTGGACTCAGCTATGTGTGATCAAAGTGGGAAATCTGCCCAGCTGAGCACCTGAACTATTCCCACTCTGGGCCAACTCACATTCAGGGGGATTTGGGCTCATTTACACTCCGTGTTTCTTCCTCTTCTGCCTCCTCAGCAGATACATGTTTACATCAAGTACTTGAGCGATGTTCTGTGACAAGAAATAGTACACTGACACATGGAATGATGGCTTTAAGTGCTGGGAGACCAAATGTCTCCTTTCATAGCATAAGCAAAGGTTGTGTATTGCAGCTACAGGGCTTCTGTAAACAGTATAGACTAAATTTGAACTAAGATGTGAAAGGTCCTTGCAGGAGTGTGGAAGTAGAAATGTGGAGCAACACAGCATTTTCTTACAAAATTTGAATCAGTTCATGTTGGGTGCTTCCCTGAAGAACCCATTTGTACATATTTTAAGGTATCTGTAAAGCAATAAGAAATTCTAATTTTGCCATGCCCTGTGTGCATATAAGTATTGTGGATGCACAGCTTAGCACTCCATTACAGTGTTTTCTTAAAATTCTGTGCAATTGGATTTTGCTTAATCTGTGCTGTTTCATGCCAGAGCAAAAGATTATGGATCATTACATTATATATAGTGGAAAATTATTCGGAAGTGTCAGTTTGAAGGTTTTGGTAACATTGCAAATTTTGTAGGTGAAAAGTAATCCTTACTATAACATAGTTCATAATTGTTTTGGGGATGTAAAAGCTCAGCATTTTAGCTGGGTCTTTGTTCAGATTCGATTTAGTATTTTTATAGTAATTTTAGAAATACTGGAAATGTACATGTACATTTGCAATGCCAAACATTCCTGCAGATTCTAGATTATTTACTGCTTCCTATAGAAGTAGCTAAATCTTCTTTCTCATGCCTGGCCACTTCAACAAGGCCAGGTTGGACAGGGCCCTGAGCAGTCTGATGTAGTGGGTGGCACCTTTGCCCATGGCAGCGGGGTTGGAACTGGATTATCTTTAAAGTCCCTTCCCCCCCAAGCCTTTCTATAATTCTTCATGACTTGCAGGCTGCTCAGTGAATCACAGTGCACTTCTAAACTATGCCACTCTTAAATGGTCCTAACAAATTCTTCCCTGAATTATATCTGGATGAATTAAATTTGCAGACTTGTGTTATTGCACAGCAAACATTTTCTGATGGTATTCAGTGTTTTGAGGAAAGTGAAAAAAAGTGGGACAGGTCTCTGTGTCATATATTATCTTGCTGCATTGGTTATGTGAAAAGTTGAATTTTAAATAACTTGTGTATGGTTAGTTGTGATTTTTTCCCTTACTCCCTTTGAGCATAGTGCTGTTTTTCTTTAATATAAGTTGATGAGTTATAGCAGCTGTCTAATGCTTGTATTTTGGAAGTTACATGGTGCACAGGGTATTTGAATACTTGGTTCTGCCTGACCTTGATCATGCAAAAATGAGAGAAAATGAATTGTATCAAAGCTGCTACAGGTAGGATAAAAAAGAATGGAGTGGAATAGAATAGTTCTGTTGGAAGGGACTTGCAGTGACTGCGTAGTCCAACTGCCCAATCATTCACGGCTGACCAAAAGCTATCTTGCAGATTTTGATTATTCAGAAGCTATTGCAGGAAAACCAGAATTAATATATAAGTTTTTCTGTCCAGTTGCTGAAAACCCACCAGATATAGTGCTAAAAGCATGTTAAAAAGCCAAACACTTCCCTTTTGCCCCAAAACATGAACAGCTTTATTGTACTTGACCATATTTTCTTTCCAGTGCAAAAAATAGCAAAAGATTTCCCTATGTTCACAAGCTTTGCAGCTACTAATAGTTTTCTGTATGCTCTTAAATATTTTTCAATGTCTCCACTTAAAAAAAAATAGTAATTGTAGTAAGAAAAAGGAAGTTAACTGCACTGAAAGCATATAGTATTGGCAATACTATCACAAAAATCCCAAAGTGAAGCTTTAGTGCTGCATTTCTGTCTGACACTTTTGTAGGTACTCTATCTCCTTACTGTGTGGTCCTTAAAATCATGCATGAGTCTGTTGTTTAGAAATGTATTTGCTGTAGCCATAATCTTAAAAAAAGACCTGTTACTGTAAATACTCATAAGACTAAACCATTTGTTTCCACCAGGATGAAGCATCCTGGACTCCAAAAGCAGTCAGCATATATCCCAGGTAATTCTCACCTATGCAAACTAGACTTCTAGATTTTAATTGGAACTTTAGCAATGCTGAAAGTTCAAACCTGAAATTTAGGAACTTATATTTGAGAGTGGAATGGAAAGTCTTGAAGCTTTCTGTACTACTCATGTATAAAGAGTTCTCTCTCTCGCTTTAGGCTGAAAGCAGTTCCTGCCTTTGTTCTTAATTTTTCAAATTTTTAGACCTTAACTAAATCAAATGCTGTATTTTTTCTCATCTTTGAAATGTTTATTTTTCTAAGGAAATGTGTGTTTTAAAATAAAAACAAAACTCTGGACATTGTGTGTGGGCACATGTACTTAAAATTCTTTAAAGAGTTGTTTTTAGGAGCACCCATTCCTTGTATCTTTGCCTGATTGCAAAGCCATGTAGTGGTGAATGACTTTGCTTGATGAACTTCAAAATCATGACCTCTACAAAATAAGAAATATACAAGCTTCACTTTAAAAAGTAAAATGATACTAAAATGCTGGTTTCTCCAACTGGTCTTGTATTATCTTCTTGCTTGGTCTTACAGAAGTAAACACTGGCACTGCACCCATGAACATCAGGATATCTTTCAGTTTCATTCAAGCTGGAGTCAGTGACTTCATACTGAAAAAGGTTGGTTTTTAGACTACAGACCATGACAGTTTGTAACAGTGAAGGAAAATACATGTTTGTGTGAATACATAGCTGTGTATACTTGTAATACAGACTTGTCTGTATCTATGTATGCACAGGTTTAACCTGCAGCTGACATGATTATGGAAAGCATTTAAGACTTCTGTAAGCTTTGTGGCAAAGAAGTAATTCTGAAAAAATATACATGTATATAGCAGTTACATGTACTGGAAGATGAGAATAGTGTGCTAAACAAGAAGCCTTATTATTGGGACAGTAAAATAAAGTTTTGTCATAACTGATTTTAGAGTCACTGATGCCTTGAATCTTACAATTGGGCATTTTTCTCATAAAGTTAAGAGTCAATGTTCCCCTTTTAATCCTGTTAATTTTACTGAATTACTTATGTTACAAATTACCTGCATCGCAGTATTTTAATGGTGTTTGTAGTAATTTTAAAAACAGTTGCTGGGGATAGGTCATTTAATTATATTTTATCAGTAAGAAAGCATTAGCTCTGCTGTGAGTGATAGCCAGCAAGGCCATCTGCAATGCCTTTCAGTTCACTCACTCTGAATTGTTCAGATAAAGACTGTCAAGTGCTGCCTAAATAAGGAAGGAGCCGTGGCAGGGTTAAGTGCAGTGGAGGACACAAATGGAGCATTGATTCCAGGCGTGCTGGAGGGTCTGAGCTGTTTCCTGCAGCACTGAGCCTTTTAAGAGTTTTCATTGTTTCCCACAAAGTATTAAAATGCGAGTGTCTGCCATTCAGGATCTCAGGGAGGATGAAAATGAGGATTGGGAAGAAGAAGAAAAGGTGAGTTAAACCCCAATAGTTTTGCAAAGTACTTATTTCCTTCTATTTTTCTTCTTTAGGACAATAAACCTGTAATGATTACCTTTCTCTTTCAGATCTTCCTCAAGCCTGTTATTGAGGACAGAAATATGGAACTGGCCCGAAAATGCAGTGAATTAATAAGTGATGTAAGTGATGGTGACTATTTGCACTCTCATATTTGCATTTCTTCTTTCAAATGCATTTATATTTATGATAGATATTTTCTCAAATATGTACAGTGTAGTGTGTGCCCATCCAAGGCTCAAATAATAAAAGCCCATAAAATAATAGAAAAGCACAGATTATTCTAGTACTGTAAATTATCAGCCACAAAAGAATGAGCTTTTCAGAGCACTTGGATGGGGTGAAGCACAGGCCCTAGAAAGGAGTGTTTCAAAATGTGGGTCTCAGGGAGAGGGTGTCTGCCAGGAGAACACCTTGGCTGCTTTCATCAGGAAAATGTGGTATTTTTTCTGGTTGTAGCCTAATTTTATGCAGTTTAATTGGTTTGAACAAAACTAGGTTCCAGTATACATAGCTGTAAGGAGGGAAGTTAAAAATAAAAGATAAATTTTTAATGTTATCTTTTGTTTGTGCTGATAGATGTCCAAAACTGCTCTGCATATTGTTATTGACTATGCTTATAGGACAAATCCACTGAAATGCTAGAATATATTTTAAAAATATTTAGCTCACTAATTCTTGATTTAGTTACTATAGATTCTTAAAACTGTAGATCTGTTATATAAACATCATAAACCAGGTCCCAGACATTTTAAATTGGAGTAGATCTGATTGCTTCAATGGAAGAGGATCAGATTTACCTTGATGGAAATTTCTTTTTGTTTCTGAGACAGTGTGTCAAAAAAAGTAACTTTGTCCCTTCATGGGTGCATGGGTGTAAAGAATGACATTTCTCCTGTGAGAAAGCTGTGGCAGGAGAGGAGACCTTTCTGAGGAGATAGTGACTTACCTCAATAAATGTTCTAAAGAAACCGAAAAATGGTGTCTGGCTCATGTTGTAATACGATATTTAGGTGTTAATTTAATGGGAATAGAACATACAGAATCTACATTTTAGGTATAAATTTTTAGGGGTTGTGTATCAGAAAAGAATAGTTAACTCAGAAGACCAGTATCTGGGATGTGAAAAGTCTTACAGTGCTGACTTGAGAGTGTGACTTGACAAGGTCAAAGTTTCCTCTTTCCTCTTGTCCATACACCAGCTACTTCAGTTTTCACAGAAAGAGTGCTGAAAATTGGATAGATCCTTAAGAGAAACTACCAAGATGAGCCCTTTGTAAACTCAATCTGCTTTAGGAAGCAGCAGAGATTTATTAATACTTTTACTGATATATGCATGCTTTCTTTGGGAAAAAAGGGTATATGGTGCGTTAAGTGCCTGTCAACTCTTGTAAAGGCAAAAATGAAAATGGACCTGAAGCACTTATATGACCCAATATACATTTGCATCCATGCAGCTTCTTTCTGAATATGGTCACTGTTCTTATAGAAAAAAACTCCTTGAAAAATGCTGAAGAAATCTATCTTTAACTGAAAAGGAATTATTACTCGGCTGTGTATCCATTAGGAGTAATGTTGGCTATGGCTCCTAATTAATGGATATGGAGTGGCTGTATATTCTTGGATTTTCTGCAGGGACTTGAGAGCTAAGGCAAATAGCTAAGTCAAGCCAGGCTTCTCCTGCTTATAATGGTTCAGGGATGTGGGCTTTTGCTGAAAACTTGTGATGCATTTAGCCTGCAAGTGTGTTAGATTTTCCTTGAGATATGTCAGGCATAATGGCAAAGTGTTGTTAATGCTTTCAAAGCAAGAACAATATATAATGGTCCAGACCAATCTAATTTCAAAAAAGAGGCTCTTTGTGTAAAAATAACATCCAGCTTTGGGGCTTTATTCAGCCTCTGATGAAATCAGTAAGTTTTTCTTCATTGGCTTGAATGGAATATGCATAGAACATGAATTTTGTTTCCCAGAATTTTTTGCTATAATGGAATTTCTTATGACCAGTGAAGTCCTTTGTACCTGGGTATAAATTCCTCACCCTGCACATTTCATTGTGGGGACCAATAAATTGCAAGGAGTTTGCATTCTTACCTTCAATTTTTTGACTTGCTGACATTCAGAACTTTTAATATATTCCTTATCCTTTTTAGCATGAACCTTTCTGCATACTACTATTTGTGTGGATTTATGATTGGTGTACATTGGTACATTTAATTTGTGCAGTGGTTTTATGGCACTTTCTGTTTGGCCCGTTGGATGACCTTGGGGGAGCAGCCTGTGTCCTTGCTGGCCACAAGACTAGGTGATTGTCCTTTTCTGATGGTGGAGCTGTCAGCACATCTCCTCCATCAGAATGCAGAGCCAGGAGTGCACATGCCAGAGATACTGGGGCTGTATTATGCTCGCCCTGCATTCTTTGCAGGCTGACTTTAATTTGGCAATATGGTTTTGAAAAAGTGTTACCCTGGCAGTCCTTGGTGAATCTGTAATTGCCAGTCTTGAGCTGTACGTAGGGGAAGCTGTGAAGTGTTTATGTGCTCCCGTTCTTGAGGAAATCCCCAGTTTCATTTGAGGTTGGCAGATGTTTGTTCTGTGGCTGTGATACCCCCTGGATTGTTTCTCTCTACAGTCGTTCCATTTAATCTCCCTCTATTATGAAATTTTATTCCACAGATGTTTTCAAAACTGTCATGTGTGTTTGATTTATATGAATTGCCTTCCTCTCCAGGCCTTTTCTCTTCCACATTGAAATCGAGTTCGTCCATTTGCTTGTAGTGTATTTTCATATCTTTTTTGTTTTGATTATGTGGTGGGATGTTGTCAGTACTGTTATAAGCAGAGATGGGAACAATTATAGAAGGTAATTGACCAAACTATTATAATCCTTTTTGGTAGAATGGCAGACACTGCCTTCTGAAGATTCTGCTGAATTGTGGTAATGAGTGGTACCAGCACTTCTTTTCCTCTAAAGCAAACAAATAGGACTGCTTGCTATTTATCTGTCCTTGCACAGAGTCCAACTTAGCTTTAGGATGTCTCTGTTATAAAGCAAAGTCCAAAAAGACCTAGAGCCAATAGTGGAAACAGTGTGCCAAAGTAGCAGGATTTTGACTGCCAAATTCTGGGTGCAGCTGTTCACCTGGACTCACCAATACTAGTCCCAGCCTCTAACTCAAGAGGACCTTGAGTTTGAAATTGCTGGAGATTACTAAAATGCTATGTACTTTAAGAGCAATACTGTATGCTTGTCTATTTTACTCTAGGTTCCTATGGCCACAGAGAAAGGATTCTGTATTAGATGAATCTGTGGTCTGGCACAGTCCTTAGTCTTATAAGAGATTATAAGTTCAGAAATGTAGGTTTGGAAAGTGAATACTTAGTGGAAGGAAGTTTCCTTTTTTTCCAGCATAAAAGCTAGATAAGAAGGTTCAGACATTTTTGTTGTTTTTCTAAACAAAAATGGGTATTTTAGATATGACAGTTCTACAGTGGATCTTGGCAGGATGACTGTTGACATGGTTACGCCATTGATGTTAAGATTATAAAAAATAGCTTTTGAGTATATTCATATTAAATTAGTTAGATGAACATGTGTCCCTGAATAAAAGGAATGGTGGCTGCTTGGATTATGCTGTTTCCATTGGAGTCTTTCCTTTAGCCCACACTCTCCCTTCTGTGTTTTCCCCTGAAAAAGGGTGGTGGAACAGGCCGTGGGTGAGATGAATTTTCTTGGTGAACCAGGAAGCTTCGGCTTAAAAGTTGCATGCCCTTGTTTTATAAAGTTGATCTTCCCATTTAAAATCCATTAAGAAAAAAATGCAGCTTGAAACTTAATGTTTTGGTGGTTGTCTAGGAATTTTAATCCACTTTACTGGATAGTTGTGCTGCGGTCAGAGTTGGTTTTATGATGAGTCAGGGAGAAGAAAAGGATCTGGAGAGAACTATGAAAAATTGAGCCTTTAGTGAGCTATTGAACTTCAGAAGTATATTGAAGGAGCAGTGGCTCCAGGCCATCATTTGCAAATTCTTCCTATTTGTTTTTTTCAGAAGGCTTACCAGATCTGCTCAATGTAAACAGTGTATTTTGTGGTGAGGGGTAAGCCACTTGCAGGCAAAATTTCCTATTCAAGAGATCTGAATTTTTAATTACTGACTTTGAAGAGGAATATTAGCTTCTCTGCCTGTTCATTCCATTCATTGGTTATGTTAGATCATAGGCAAGCTCTTGAACATCTTCCTTGCATCATTTACACTAAATATGTTTTATAACTGCAGGTGTCATGACTTCATTATACTTGTCCCGTTTCATCTTCCATCTTTCTGATTCCAAGCAATGTGGACAATACTGTAGCAGAATGGAGTTTGTTGGATCAGAATTTGGCCAAACATTTTGTTATATGTACTCTCTAAATTGTGTATTTGAGTCTGTATGCATTTTGTGGCTTCTATGGGTTACTATAACAAATGTGAATAATAAAGGATTAAGGAGGTGGCATTAGTCATTTACTGCTTTCAGTTCTTTTGAAAGCATGACTTCTATAGCAGAACAGCTTTGTTTCTTCTAGTCATGTCCTGTCATTCCCCCCAATTAAGAGATACCTTAGGAAGCTTTTGTGTTTGATTCTTGAATGTAATTATTGCTCTGCAATTAAAATGGATATAATTACAGTCAGCTTTCAGATGTCTGTGGATGATTTATCTAAGTTGTGAGCAGCAAGACTCTGTCTCCTCTGCCAGAGTCACAGCTTTACAGGAATTTCTACTGGGAATGCCATCAGATTCACCCAGTAGACAGTCAGCTCTGTAAACTTCCAATGCATGTGTGCTGTTTGGACAGTAAGTGCCTGCTCATACTTATCATAAAAATGTCTTTTTGTGTGTTGCTCTGTGATTACCTGTGTGTATGTCACACACAGGTTGCATGAACCATTGGCTTTGTGAGTCAAGTCATGACACAGTAATGTTACCCATTGTTCACCAAAAGGTTTTCTTTGAGAATAGATTGTAATCCACAAAAGCAGACGATGTGATTTGGAAGTGACGAGTAGATTCTTTCAGAAGTTTAAATCTGAATGAGCTCAATATCAAGCAAAATTGTTTCTTGTGTGAGGATAAAGTAGTCATGAATTTGAGATAAATTTGGCATTATCTAATCCATTTTTCAGTAAACACAAACTTTGCTTTAGACCGCACAGGAGCTGAATCTGTAAGCTGCCATCCTTCTCCTAAGTTTTCCAAGTCCCTGTAGAGGAGCATACACTAGAACTTGTGATATCCATTAAGGATTCAGAGAAAGAGGATATTAAGGCTGCATATTTCTGTAATGCTCAGATGCAGATCATATTGCTTCTGTCAGTGCTTGTCAGCAAGTCTAGAGTGCATAAATTCGAGCTGCTGTTGGGCAGAATGTGAAAATGAGGTTAGAGAAATGGTAGCAGATAATAACCATGAAAGCTTAGTACTAAATAATTCAATTTGCATTGATCTAAACAATTCTCTGTACAAAGAAAGAAATGTCATTAAAAACATCTAAGGCTATCCATGTAAAGTGTTGTCGTTAAAACTTACTTAGTCCATCTCATCATAATTCACCATCTTTCTTCATGCAGTTTGTATATAATGAGTGTTCCTACATGTTAACCATGTCCATAGATTTTATCCTTCTTGCAGTCTCACTAATACAAACAATAACTCTGACTTTAGCAATGCTTATGTGATTATTATACCTGCTCATACTGTTTGCCCCATTGTAGAAAAAGATTGGCTGCTTAAAAAAAAAGTTTGGGTTTTTTCTTTTTTTTTTTTTTTTTTTTTTTTTGTTACCAAATATGTCATAGTATTCTGGTGGCTTTTTTCATGGTTTCCTATGTGCATACACATTTTAAAAAATGCCTCAATTTAAAATTTGTTTGGTCTTAGAGAAATTCTGTAATTACTTGAATGTTATGAGTGTTGGGTGCTTTGTAGGCAATAGTTTAGCAGTGGCCTCCTGAATTTATTCATGTGAGTCTTGGATTCATAAAGGGGCATTTGATGATGTTATACAGAATCTGTGCTTGCTAGGTCTGTGTTAGAAGTGAAACAATTTTTATCTTTGAGATCAAGGATCAAGGAGATCAATTATTCGATTCTTCTTTCTTTAGAGACACTAAAACATCTACAACTGTCATGAAAATGTGCTCTAGATGTAGAGAAAAGTCCTGTCTTTTTCATCTATATTATTAAAGAGTTCTCTGACTTTTACATAGCCCTGGTAATGTGCGTGAGAACTCGTAGCTTCCCTTTATGGTTTAATTTGAACCAGCCGGAGGTATTTGCAAGCTGCCCAGCACAGAATCCATGAATAAAATAAAATAGAAATACTACTAATAATAAAACAATTAAAATAACCAATGTTTGCTTTTCTGTGTGTGTGTTTTTAAGAGCAATTAAACTTCTTTTTCTTCTCTTTGTAGGTACACTATAAAGAAGAGTTTAAAAAATCTAAAGGGAAGTGCATATTTGTACCTGACACCCCGCAGCTAAAACATGTGAAAAGCCTTGGTGCTTTTATTTCTGAGGTAAGATCTAAAAGACTGAAAAATTTTCTTGGCTTCTTATCCTTCCTAAAAACTCTTTCAGTTGAGTACTGTGATTTTTAGTTGGGGAAGGATGGCTTATTTCAAATAATAATTCTGTTTAAAGCTGAAGTGAATTCAAAGGCTGTAATTAGTGTATACTACAATGTGAATAATAATAATAATTTGGAATTACATGACACTTTTATTTTGGGATTTGAAGATACTTTATTAATGGTTCTGAGCAAGTCCTAGCTATCCCATTTTATGTGTGGATAAACTGAGGAATAGGAAAAGAATGTTACATTTTCTGCAGTGATGAGGTTTGCAAATTACACCTGTGCAAAATTTCCCTGCTGTGGAGATTTCACAGCCTGATATCAGACAGGAGACAAGGCAAATGTTTCCATGTTATCATCCCTGTCCTCCTTCAGCAAGAGGGCTGGGGCAGACATCAGGTCAGTGCCATCTGTGGGTTGCCTGAGCACTTGCATATCTGTCTGTCTGTCTGTCTGTCTATCTCTGCATACCTGTGACATGTGCACACATACACAGCTTGAAAGAAAGAAAAGAAAGATCAATAGCTTCCAAAGTGCCAGAGCAGCATTTACTGGCAGCTCTTCATGTCCCAGGTATGAGGTGCTGTAGGATTGCATCTCTGATTATTTTCCACAAGTAAGAACAGCAGCAGAAGTTTCACCTGAGAGACAGCAGCTTTATTTAGGAATCGCTGGTTCTGAGTAATTTTTCTGTCCCTATGGCCCTTCAAAAAATTAAAATTTTGGTCCCTCATTTTTTGTGCCTCTTTTATGATTATAATAAAAAAGTCCAAGTATCACTGTCTGAGGTTACATAAATTCAAAATTCTATTTCTGACATACAACAATTTGCTATGTGGCTTTCAGTATGAATGCATCAATTAAATACTGTTCTTGTATTTATCTTCCTGTTGTCTGAGAAGGAGTGGCATGTCCCAAGGGAAGTGAATCTCATGTAATTGCACTTTATAAGAGACAGACTATTGTAGTCTACAGAAATACAGTATATAGAGAGTATTTATCTAATCTGTCTGATTCCACCGAATCTGCTGCTAATTATTAATCAAAGATTTAGAGATATAAAAATATTCTAAAATTTTAAACCCTGTAGGTTTGATATTACCACACTTTTGAGCATGCTGTGTGTTTATTGCAGCATTACCTGAAGCCAATGAGGTGATGGATGGTTTATCTTGTAAATTACTGACCTCTAGTGTCCCATCACCTGTATTTGCAAATCTTGGACACTGACATTTTAACAGCAGTGAAAAAGAGCGCTCTGTTTTGGGGAACAGCAACAAATAATACAGCAAATTATTGATATGTATGCATATAATGCATTTGGGGAATTAGCCTTTAGTGAAGGACTGTATATTTCACAGTAAATAAGTGACATTAGTGTAATTGAAAATATTTTTGGTATTTATGATTACTTTCACAGCAGTGTTGCCATTACTGTTTTGTGAACTTGGAAGACTTAGAACTGAAGCAAAAGCCTCACACATTTTTAGCTGTTGTTCTGGTACCTCTTGTAAAACCCCTTTGTGAGGAGCTGCCAATACTGAATACTGGAGGAGACACAAGATAAATAAAATGTAATTTAAAAATGAGACTGTAATATGAACAGATGAAACAGAAATGATGACAGGCAAACTTCAGTATTCCTCCCCTTTCTAGCTACATTTAGTTGCTGCTACTTATTAGTTGGTAAAATATTTATGGTACGCCTCCCATTTGCTCCCATTGTTCAGGACTCTGTAAAAGAGAAAGAAGAAAAGTAATTTTTGGATTTGAAAATGATCTGAGAAAGGATAGAAGAAACTGCCTTGCTTATTTTATTTTGTATTTCCATTAAAATTATTGGATTTAATTAGGAGATATTTTGCATTGCTTTGTGAATTAGGCACATCCCTATAAAGTATTATTAAAGATGTTTTTGCTAGAAAGTTAGTGACAGTTAATGAAATTTTTCCATTTCTGTTCTCTGCCATTTTACTTACTAGAAAAAAATAAGTAGTATGTTTACTGTATCTTCATTTTTGCATTTTATGTCACCTTTTTCTGCCCTCTAGGTGAAATATAAAGGAGCTGCTAAGAAAGACCTTTCCAACCCTCTCTATCAGCAGATGCCAGCCACAATTGACAGTGTATTTGCGAAAGAATTAATGCACCTTCAGAGCAAGGTACAACTTTAGAATTGCAAAAATGATTTTTTGATTAACTGTGTGTCAGAATAAGTACACTTTACACAAAATACTTGAAAGGACACTTGATTGTCGGCTTGATTTATTTGGGTGAACTTATCATCCAGAGTTTATCACTATAACTTCTCAAATTCAAAAACTGCACATTTTTAAAATGTTGACAATTTTACTTGCATTTATTAAATATGCATTTAAAAGTTGGTAGTGCATTCATTGATCCAGTGAAATCTGTGAATACAATAAGGAATTGTATAAGGAACCCTTATAGAATGGGTGACTCTTATATAACTTTTCCCCGTTGGGTGTTGTATTAACATATATTAACTGTAATATGAAATATTTGATCCTGAAGGCAAGAGAAAAGAAAACTGCTTTAATGACTTCTAAAGGCACTTAGTGGTAGCAGCAAATGTATTTCTGATGATCTGCATACTACTACTTACAACAAACTTTATACAATTAAAATATGAAATCAAGTATATTGAATATGGTATAAAGCTTGTGAACAACCAGCAAAATAGTAAATTCTGGTTCAGTTGCCTTCAAGGACTTAAAAATATAATACCCTAAGAGTAGGCAGGTGACCCTTCACTTCCACTGACCTCAGTGGAATTATGAATGTTAAGCACGTGTAATATGAACGAGGCTCCAGATTTTCATTGTTACTCATGAGAATTACATGGAATAGATGGTCATGGCTTTCCATCCACCAAGCATTTCCATGGTTTTCTTGCTTTTGCTTTCTCCTCTCTTAAAGATATCAACTACATATGGTTTAAAACAGCCAGTGCATGAAGGGAACACCCTTCTAAATCCATAATATTGATTGTATCTCAATATGCATTCTTGTAATGTAGTGACACTTTTTCAGACAAAGGAAAATATTAATAAAAAAAGAATGGACTAAAATTTCAGGACAGCTTGTGGAAAAATGTTTTGATATAAAACATTATGTTAATCAAGGCTATATTAAGCAAATACAATAACACATATTTTAGTTTTCAGAATTTGAAAAGGAACATATATACACACAAGTTAAAGCACCACAGTAGCTGAAATGACATTAATGTGACATTTCATTGTAAAGTGAGTGATTAGAGGAATTATAGTAAAAAAAAATTGGGAATTAAACTTGTATAACATTTTTAAGACATTAGCTTGACTTATAAAACGTTAGTTAACTATTTTGCCACAGATTTACTCCCAAATTCATTCCAAATTATTGCATTCTACATTTGTTTACCCAAATGAGATTAATTAACATTGGTGATGTGGCAGCAAAGATAAATAACTGAAACTAAAAATGAATCCATTGATTCATAAAAAACCCTTTTAAGGAAAAGACTGACATTTTTATTTGGTAGTTTTTGAAGGCTTTCTTCAATCATCCAGCAGTTCTAGAGAAAAAAAATATGCATATAGGCTGAGTTATATTTAAGCAGAATTTTTTCCCACAAAATTCATACTATCCCCTTAGGAGTAGATGCATTATAAATCATAATATACCATAAAACTTAAAGATACGCTGACACATTTTTCCAACTTGTGGTTTACTGCTGCAATGGACCTGAATTTAATGCTACTTTGAGAGAGCTCTCAGGGGATTTTCTAGTGAAAAATCTTCTCCACAGTATTCAAATCTAATCCATATTGTGCCTATCACTGCAGTACCTAAGTAGCTAATACAAGGATTTCAGATTTCATCTGGGTCAGGATATGGCAGAGGGGGTTTCTGCTGCATCTGTCTAGCTGGGACTGTGAATTTACAGGTCATCACTTCAGGAGGAGGCTATAGATATTCCATAGGAAGGAGAGAGAACAGCACCAGCTGCCTTTTGCTCCAGCTCTGCTCCAAAAAGGCTGTGCAAACACAGAATTGCAGTCTGTTTCTGAGTTGTAGTGAACTGATTTTGAAATAGTTCTGATTTACCGAGAGGTGGAAAATATGAGCATGTGTCCTCCCTACCCACACTAGAAGAAATTTACACCTTTGACTCCCTTTTCATGCTTCTTGGATGCAATGCTGGGCTGGAATGCTTTTGTGGGCAGATCAAGCAGGACTCTCCTTGCTCTGTGGTGCCGTGTTCTTGGCAGGATCACAGCCTCACATGCCAAGCAGGTGCATTGGGAGTAGAGGGTCATGGTGGGGAAGAAAGAGAGCCCCTGACCTTCCCCAGAGCTGGCTGCTGGCACAGGCTGGGTGCCTCTGGCAGAGGATCCTCTTACCCAGGTGCATCCCCTGGGCTCTCCCCTGATGCAAAGTTTGCTCCTGAAATGGAGCTGCTGCTGCCCAGCAGCCCTGTCTTCAGTTTAGTAATTTGATACACAGTTTCAAATCACACACATGATTTAGGAACTTGGAGGAAACTAGGGGAAATATCCTGTTTTTCTTAAGGAGTTATGCCCCCCCCCCCCCCCCCCAACAGCTGCCCTCCACTGTCCTCTCCAGAGCCACCAGGCTGCCACAGCACCATTGACCATGTTGGCATTGTTTAACTCTTGTGGCAATTGTCAGTGATCTTAGCAGAGCCAGGATCTCCTCCTTCAGGGGTGCTGCCATGCAGTGTCAGCACTGACATAAGGATCTTGCTGTAATGGAGAGAATAGCACCCTGACACATGTGGTTCTCCTCCTGTGGAGCCTCTTCCCCATACTGGCTGTATTGAATCATACTCAATTCTGTCTTCAAGATACTCAGGAAAGCCTGAAACAAGACTTCCTGCTGGCTTTTGCATGAAACCCATGTTTACTCTTTTGTGTTTTTTGTACAACTGGCATGAGGAAGGAAATAAATACCTATAGAGAATGACATCTATCCAAAACTGGCAAAAAAAAAAAATCCCAATGCTGTTTATGGGAAAAATGTAAAAAAAGTTTCGCAGTCCCACATACTTGGGTGGCTTTTATAATTTAAATTTTTTTCCTCCTCACAGAAAATTTGACTGTGGCCTCCTAAATGCCTTTCTTGAGAGTGAGCAGCCAGATTTCCCCCCTCTCTCACTTTTATCATAGCTGTCCCCAGGGAAAGCTAAAAAGAGGAGGAAGCCCCTGTCATCACTGAATAACTTCACTCTCCTTACCAGCCTACAAAGCTCTCATCAATTTCCCTGCTTTTCACAGTGAGAAAATAAATTTGATGCGAGCAGTCTAGGTAGGGAGCCTTCATTTTGATTTTTCTGAAAGGAAATGGAAAATTTTGGAGAAATTGCAATATTCCTATGGAAAATATTGCTGAAGAAAAATTCGTGATCATTGCTAGCTCTGTGCTAAATCTTTTTCTTGTCTGAAGATCAGTATGCTGTATACTTGTTTATGTAAAACAATATTTTTCTTAATAAGGTGTCACAAACAATGATAAAGGTATTTAAAATTGCTTGGGGGAAACAATGTTGAAAAAAAATAAGCACTTCATCACTTTTTTCATCACTTCATTTTTGCCATAAGAAGTGATTGCACTGTTTTTCTTCTTATCTAAAAGGGATAATCTTAAGCAAACTGAAGGCAGTTTAATTTTCTACTTTGTACAGGGCAATATCTCAAAGAGTCAATATTGAACAGTATTTCCTGTTTCTTTAAAAAGGTGATGAGCCAAGAGAATCTTAATCAACGTTTTCAACTTCCAGAAGAAGTTTCAGAGGGGTTTTTTGTACTACAATAAAAATTTTGTTGTTTATTGCATCATTTGCAATCATATTACACATTATCAAATTGTTTTATGTAATTTTTAAGGGTTTTTATGGTAGGAAATGTCATATTCAGTATTTCCTCTCTTTTATGGTGGCAGGTATTAGTCTTCTGGACTTCTGTAGTTCTGTTTTACACAATTACATTGGATAATCTAATTCTCTACATGGAGATTAAAGTGATGTTTTTGGTGTTCTTGAACGTTTCCTTTTATGAAATCCTACTTTGTGGATTTTAAGTTCAGAGCACATCTTACTGACTATAAATGGAAATAAAAATAAAAATGTAATAGTGTTTAATGTATGCCAAAACAGGGGGCCAGTCAGAGCTGGGTTAAAGGAATACAAAACCTTCCTTAATGCAGCTTCCTATTGACACATTGGTGTAAAAGAGAGAAGAAAAATAAAAAATGAGTACTTACAAATTGATTCAATCTGAAGTCATAACCACTTAAATAATTGCCTTGTATTTCTCAAGTTAATAAATGACACCACTAGAGGGTAAAGGTTATGTCAGTGACCTATAATGCTTGATCTCTGTGTAGAGTAGTTTCATATGTAGATTTGATTAAGGAAATTCAGTCTAGCTAAAACTTAAAAATCAGCATGAGTTTAGAAATAAATGTATGCATACTAACCTATAAAATAATGTTATTAAGAGTATTGATGAAATAATGATAAATATTTTTTCATGCTTACTTGGAAGCAATTTACAAATCTGGGAATAGTTCTGCACTAAACTGTCCCAAACTAAACTAGACAGCCATTGAACCCCTCCTAGCCTAGGATTGCAACAAGACTACTTCTGTGAGTTAATGAAAATTGTGGGAAAAGAACAGATGCCAAAGCAAGTGAAATATTGCTACATTAAGCTAAAGAAATGGTCATCCTTTCCCAAGACAGCAGATACTCGTAATTTCTGCTAAATTTCTCATGCTGAGGGTTGGTGTGTTACTGTGTTTTCATAACTTGGTTACATAGCCCATTCACCAAGGGAAAAATAGAGCTGTTGAACCAGCAAAATGGCAATGTAATAAAATATCTGTAAATTAGTAATTTTGGAAGTAACCGTATGGGTCTTCTGTTCATAATGGCTGTTCTGTCCCCATAATTAAGTGGGGGACATCTTGAAAGTGACAGTGTAAGCAAGGAGAAATAGCAAAAGAGTTTTTGTGGCATATATTTTGTATAGTAATTCCGCTTTTGTGGGGGATCATTTGTTAGTGGAGCTTCACTCGTGTTAAAGATGATGTGCTTTTCCATTTGCAAGATGTAACCAGTGTAGGCAAGTTACAGACTTTTTGTTTCACTGTCAGTCCTGCAGAGGGCTGATTGTGTTGGACTGGATAAGGAGGTGGCACATTTTAAGGTTCCCTATTTGATACTTTTGTTCACAGAGTAGCAGTGACAAAATACCCTTCCCCCCTTCTTGTCTTAATGTCTCAGCCTGTATATCATTTTGTAATCTGAGATAGTCAGGGAAGATACTAACATATTGCTTTGGGCACACTACTCTGTAACTCAGATGAAATCTTGCTTTAAACAAAACCAGATACAGCATTTTCTCACAATTCCAGTGTCCTGTCCTGAAAGAGTCTGAATCTCTGTAGTTGAGAGTTTCCGTCTCAAAACTTTCACAGTATTCTTTTATTGCTACCATGGGTTTTTGTGTCAATCCTTCTCCTCCTAATCAGCTTTCCATCTTATTTAATACTTGCTGTTTTCTTATGGATTATTTTAATGCTCGCTCATGAGAGTTATTAGAGAATGAATTTTCTTAATGCTTGCTACTTTTTAGGCATCGAAACCTGGTGAATTTTCCTTAATATAAGTCTAAGAGCTTCTGACAAGGATAAGTGTAAGATCAGCTTTTCAGGCAGTTGTAGTGTGTGAGAGTGTGTGTGTAAGTATAACACAGTACAGTGAAAGATGGATGAATGCCCAACAGTGAGTTCCCCTCCTATTATAAAAGTAAAGGTGTTTATAAATTCACAATTCAATTCCATTTTCATTTACTATGATGACAATTGAATGTAAATATTATTTTTCTTTGTGAACCTGGGGCTAAGTCAAAATGCATATTGTGCTGGTTGCTTCCCAACAGTGGAAGAAATAGAACTGTGGGCAATGGGTTTATAATAAACAGTAAAACTGTTTGTTTATGACAAATGCATAAAATATTTTTTTCTCTGAAAATGGAGAATAATTATATAGCTGATTGCTTCAAGTGTGTTTAAAAAAACAAGGTGGCTTTTGATTATGTTTTCCTTGGGCTGTCTTCTCACCTTGTTAAGCTTAATTTTCTGTTTGTGTATTACTATTTCTTTCCCCTGTCTATTCATGCATCTGTTGCAATAACGTATGCAGAGAAATCTCACTGCTGACTGTGCCTCATATGTCTCTGTTTTGGGTGAAGCTGCTCTCATTTCAGTGTTCTGGACCCATGAAGGGGTTAAATTATTAATTAAGTTTCTTCCTGAATACAGGTAGACTACGCCACTAGGTTTAACCTAGCTCATGTTATTATACCTGCTCTTCCCAGGTCACAAAAGTATAATGTTGCTCTTTTCAGGTTCTCTATAAACAAAAACATGATGCTGAGAAAGGATTTTCAGACTATGCGCGTATGAGGGAGCCTCCAGATGTTAAACATGCCATGGAAGTCAGTAAACACCAGAGTGATGTAAGTACTCTCCCATCTGAAATGAGTGTGCTTGTTTTGGGTAGATACATCTGTTACAGCTTACTGAAGTGAATTGGGCATGGAATATTTCCATATTTCCTTAGTTGCTATTTTTCATAAATTATTTGCTCTGAAGTCATTTAGGACATGGTGTGTGCATAATATGTGATATGAGTAACAGTATGTGAATTTTATTCTGAGTGCAGTGGAAAAGGATAGTTACTGTTTATCAATAATAACTAAGTGCTATCACTTTGAAATAAAATTGCAGGCACAGGGTTTCTGAATTCACTACTTTTGAAGTGCATAAAGTTCTTTGTTTAAATGTACACCAGTGTTGTTTCAGTGTCTTCATCTGCCAGTACTTGGGTAATTCTTCAGGGGTGCTGTGTAGAGGAGGCAAGTGAGCGGTTTCTGCCCTGCTCTTGCACTCTTTTATGCATATGAATAAGTTTGTTCCTATCTTCTGAATATGTATCAAGTGAATTTTCCAAAGAATTTAATAGACAAATAAATGATTTATTTTAAAGAATTTGAGCTGTAGTGTTCAGTTTGATGCCTGCTCTGGTTTATACCATTTGACCGAAATATTTATTCTTGTAGTTTTATTTAGATAACTTACAAATAAATAGGAGTACTTAGCAGTATTTTGAAAGTTGATTGCTTTTTTTTCAGCTGCTTGTTAGCTTCCTGAAGTTCTGAAGGTTTTCACAATATCAAAGCCTAATAATGGTATTTATATTTCTTATTAGAATCAGGCCACATTTGATTTCATGGTCAAGCTAGCAAATACTAGCTCAATGCATCATTTCTTGGGGCAGAAATGCTGCCCTGATTATTCTTGAATGATACAGACCCAACTTTGAAGAAAAATTTATGTTAGTTTTAAGTTTTGTAAAAACTTAGTTGTAAGAAAAACAAATTTTAGGAGAAGATTGGTTAAAATAGTGATGCCGTTTTAAGGGGTACACAAAGCTTGTAAGAAGAGCTGATGTGTAACCTTAAAAGTTATGATCCAGTTCCATTCTTGTTTAGGTAACCAAATCAATTGAGGCAGGCATGTCATTTTACAACACTTTTTTGTTAGATAAATGGGATATTTGTTTGCTGCTAACAATGTAGAAAACATAGCTTTGGTGTTCGTTTTAAATTATCTTATATTTACCCCATCTTCTCCTACTAACAGTGCAACAAACACTCTAAGGTTATGTGGGCTGAAAACTAAATGTCAGTGCTAAGATGTATGTCTGTGTGCAGAATCTTGACAGCTGGCTGCTGATTAAAAGGCTGCTGGAAAACTTCAGGGAAGCATTATGTTTGAAGAATAATTTTTTCTTCTGCTGGGAAATACCTGCAATGGAATTCCCAGCAGTAATTTGCAACCTGCCTTGATTACAGAATTCCCTCTTCCTGTCAAACACTGTCCATTTCTGCTGTTGGAAGCATCAGGGTGTCATGCTGACAGAGCCTAGAGCTGGGAATGTGAATGCCTTTCCCCAGAAGCAAGAGGTTTTTTATTTACCTAGCAGTAGGAATGATGGTGAACTGCTAGGAAAGGAAATAATGCTGGAAAGAGAGATGTGAATCCCTCTCAGAGAAGGGACTAGGAGGAATATGAGACAAGTTCCTGTAGCAAATTCATCATACTTTGAGGGTTAGTATGCTAGTGCAAAACCTATTCCCCTTCTACAGCTGTATATCACCTGCTAATAGAATTAAGGAGAGCAGGTTATAGATGTGAGGATAAATGAAATGCAGTTGTTTCATCTTTCACCCTTAAAACAAGCAAAAAAAAAAGAAAAGGAAATGAAGGAAGATATGGGAGGGAAGGATGTTTTGATAAATGAGAACTTTTAACAGCATGTTAGAAATAATGAAAAAATATGAGGGAAATTATTTTCAGCCTGAGCAAACTTCAAAAAATCAAATAAGTCATCCAAATGCAACACAAAACTCTAACCAGTTAATGTGTTTAAGAACAGATTCTTTCTGGTTGCTCATGAGTAGCTGCAGTGCAATGGACAAATATCTATCACACATAAGGGAGCAAGTTATGTCAATCTGGTTATTGCTCAGCAGAAGCACACATCTCTTGTGGGTAGTATTTGGGCATCATGGTGAATTGCTGAGGATTTCTTCTTTTGTAAGTACAGGTTTAATTAAGAACCATGTGAGTTTTCATCTCGGAGTCAGAACATGGAACAGTGAGCATCCCAAATATGGAGCATTTGTCTTTCCAAACTATTTCAGGGTGTCTGTGTAATCACAGTTTTGAAAGTGCAGAGGAAAAGAAGGGAAACTACTGGGCAGGTAGAAGGACAAAGCTCTTTTATCCACCATTCTGCACAGTTTACCTGTGGGAGCAGAATGCATGTTTACCTACAATGCTCTGCCAACTCAATTCAACCTTTACATGGAGGGTTTGCATCTAAGAGGATTAGGATGTGTTTAAGACTATTTACTCAGCCTTTAAATAAAGCTGACATTTATACTCAACTCTGTGAAATGTCCAATTTCCTTTAAAAATTAAAACTGTATTCAGCTCACCATGCATTTGTGCTGACATTTTGAAACTGTCAAGTGCTGTAGGCCTTCACACCACTTTGAATATCATTATCATGCTGGACATGTTTATAGGCATCATTAATATGTTTGGGCAGAAACTGGGTAACAGGGAAATACTGTAAAAACTCCTGAACAATGTGATAATGTCTAATAAAATAATTTTTCTCTTTTTCATACTTAGTCTGAAGAAAATTGCTCTCAAATTAACACAAGTAACTTTTCTAATGACAGGAAACATACTTTAAAAAGAATTGAAATACTACATAATGCTTGAAGGCAAGCATGTTTATCCAAACCAGAGTACTTTTCTCTATAAATTGTGTTTGTGTTTTGTGAAGTGAATGTTAATGTTAATGATGTGACTTTGGCACACAAAGTCATTTTCAGAAAAGTGAAGTAGGGACCATCAGCCTACTTTGTCTGTGCTGAGCTGATCAGTTAACACATCTGGAAGTTTCCAAACTTGGGACCAAAACTAAGTGGTGGTCTTAAAACAGTGTGATGTCACATTTTTGCTTTATGTGTATCTGAGTACCATGTGAATGGAAGGATGTAGTTGAATGGTGAAATGACATGACAACTACATTTCTAAAGCAAAGAAACCATGTGCTATGTTGGGTCCCTGTGGAAGCTGCACACAGCATTTGATGAAGGTACTCAAAGCTGTGCATCATGATTTTGTCTGTTCCATGACCTGGTCCATCACTGGGCATTTTGAATAGGAAAACAATGTTAATATTTGTACAGCAGTTTAAATGTTCTGCTTTGTTAAAATGACTCATTCTCCTCACAACACTAATGGTATGAAATAAGGATGTGATCTTCTGATTTTACAAATAAGGAAACTGCAGTACTCTCATCTATGGACATTTAAAAGGCAGTTTGCACATCTGATTTTAAGGCCCAGGTATCTTTTCTCTTATGCTTATCTACAAAGAGTGCTTTTTTAGAAATATTAGTTGACAGCTGGGCAAACTTCTGATGTGTATATATACACTCTCCACTCTACATGAGATCAGTAATGATAATTTTTATGTTTCACTCACCATCTAAATTTGAATATTTAAGATGTCTATATTGTCTTAGGAGTAAGTTGTTTTTAATTTTCAGGGTATAGTGCAGTCACAGTCCACACACACAAAAAAAGTACATTCTTTCTGATAAAACCAAATCAGCAGATCTTAAAGTGGATGTGCTTAAAAACCATCAGTAACATACCCAAATGTTAATGTTTGTTTTGGGGCAGATCATGGTAAATTCAGGCTTCTTCTGTCTCTCTGTTCAGTATCTGTGTTAGAAAAATCACCATTCACTGACAAACTTTCTGCTGACAGTGGTTGTCAACAGCAGGTCCCCCTGGACCACTTCCAACTGGTGCTGAAAATGATGTTTACTCCTGGTGTAATTGGGACCAATCAATTTTAAGGCCCATTACTGGAAAGGATGACTGCATCAATCTGTAATGGGCCAGAAATGTGTTTGTCTCTTTTACACAAGCCGGAAGACAGTTTTCAACATCATTTGAGCAGGAATTAGAAAAGCTGTTGCCAATGATGATTGTCACCAGCTAGTCATTTTCTTAGTGTTGATGGACCCTAAAGTGTAGATGAGAGGAAAGAGGGCAGAGACACAGCTGACAGGCCATTAGTTAGTGGCCTTAGCAGCTCTTAGAAAATGCTAATCAGGGACAAACAGTAAGAGACAAATTCTTGTGCAGACAGGTGTGCCCAATTTCTTGCTGAATCCTTAAGAAGGCAAAATGTGTTCATAGCTGCTTGTGCATATTTGAGTAATTTATTATGTATTGTTTGGACGAGTTTGGTGTTGGAATAAATGAGAAGATAAAAGATTTCAAGAAAGGTTTGAATCTCTTAAACCCAGGTTTGCTTGGCTCACTATGTAAAAGTTTCTGTTTGTTGATTGACAGTCTGAGATGTTTTGCAGCACTGTTAGGAATCTGTTTACTTTATGGCACTGAAGTGCATTTCACTGGTATTCATGTAAGGTGAAGCATCTTGCAGACCCTGCTGGAGTAACTAGATCAGCATGTTTATCCTCAGTGGACCTTATGCATTTTATAAGAGCTTGAGGTTTGGCCTATTAAAATCAGTCTAGTAATTATGAGCAGGCCCTGAATATTCTCCATGCTTTGCAAAAACCAGTTGCAATTCACATTTGAGTATGTGAGTATGTAATCACATTTGGGATTAAAGATGAGAAATGATTTTGTTCCAATTATTGTTCACAATAATATTCAACAATGTAACCACTTTTTATTGTAATTTCAAACTGGGTTGAAACTCACTTTAAATTTAGTTAGTATCTGTAATTTACTGTTTTCAACTTCAAAACTCAAGATGGTACATTTTTTTTTCCTTTTTAGTTGCTCCTTCTTCCTTGCTTGCATTTCCCACTGGTTGGCCATAACTCTCCATTTGGTCTTTCACTGCTGCTCTAAAATTGTTATCTCAATTACTTTTCCTATGCAAGAGTCAGCTGGAACAATTTTTTTGTATACTGTGGTCCTCATGAAGTGGAGCAATTCTTGAGCCTTTGCTGATTTTTTTGGTAAAGCCTGAGTGACCCTTTGAAGTGCAGATTGAGTAAGGACATTGTGTAATGCCTGGAAATTCTGGTCAGGGCATGAGCCTCTTGGCTGAACCAGCTCAGGACAAAAGATGGCTCCTTCTCTGGGAGCTTCCTTTCTTTTTGTTGTTTTTCCCCCCTCATGGGCTTCTTCACTTTCCATCTTCTGATGCCCATGGGTGCACACACCAAGCTGGTTGCTTTGCCCTGTCTACATCTGTTCCCCTGCTCTCTCAGAATAGCTCTGGTTTTACTGTTCTAACATAGCACTATTAAAAAAAAATCACTAGATGGAACAGAATAGCAGCTGTGTAATAGAGGCCAGCAGAGTGTCCCAATGGGAGAGGGTCAGCATCCAGGGATTGAGGTTATTCAGGAAATGGGAAACATATTTTTTCTTTCTTTGGCCTACCTCTGACAAACTACTGTTCTGCTGCATAACATTTTTATTCTCACTGGAGTATGACAAGCTGCAGAATGGAGCAAATATATATTGCAGACATTTGTAAAATGCTAGATGACTTTCCCTCAGACATAAGTAATAGGTATACTGGTTTAGGTGCAGGAAGAATAATAATTCACTCAGGGAAAGATATAGCAATTGGCCTTGCATCTAATATAATTGGAAATGGTGAAATATAAAGGACTGTCACTGTCTTATTTCTCCCCCCCCCCCCCCCCCTTCCTTTCCCCGAAATTAACCACAATCCATTATTTCATGTACTATATGATCATGTCATTTGGGAGCAATAAGTGACCACATTTCCTCAACTTTATCACCACTGTTCTTGATTCTCTGATGTTAAATTCACTGCATTCCTAATTTCTATTTTGAGCACATATGCTGGCCCTTAATTTGCAATTTACATGGATCATAGGGTGCTATTCAGAAACCTGTTTCTGCTGCCTTTGTGGTTTTCACCTCACCTCATGTGGTCATTAGGATGAACAGCATATAATTAACTAAATTCATGTAAAGTCCTGAATTGCAAATGCTTCTCTCTACCTCTAGTTTCTTAAAAATTAGAGAAAATCTAAACATAACTAAAACAAAAGTTCCAGTGGTTTACACCAGCTGGAAGAATCAACTTTTGTTTTGTATGTATGTGATAATTTGAGCTGAATGATCAAACCTATTTATTTGTTTCTTTTATTAGTGATTACACTTGTGTGTCACGGCAGATTAAAAATTATAAGATCTATTTGTGGGCAGGCAGCCAACAGTGAAGCCTGTTTAGCTTGTCTGCTTAGCTGAAGCCATATGGACGCAAAATTACTTTCCTGTTGCATGTAAAATATTTGCCAAAAAGTGAATTTTTTTCCTTTTCTTTTTGCAATACCATTTCTATGAAGTATATTTGTCACTGACTACTGCAGTTTATGAGTTTGTTGTATTGTACCCAGAGTGAAACTTTACATTGGAAGTAGGAGCAGAGGTTATAATAAGAAACTTCAAGCTGAGAACTTTCTTGCTGGTGAAATACTATCTTGAGAGGTTGATTAACTTTGTGAAGCAACAAAAGAAAATCTAAAAGATTTCTCAGTAAAGGATGAAATATTCTTTTACTCCCTATTTCCTCTAAACTTTATTTTATGTTCTCCAACTTCTGCCTGAAACTTCAATTTGTCAGACGCTTTAGAATACCAGGGACAGAATGTCATTAAGAATAATTCAGTAAGACAGCCCTTGGAAATTGGCTTAGATTGGCACATGTGCTAGAGCAGGAAAAAGTTGACAAACCTTGAGGAGGAGGGAAAAGCAGGATGCCTTAAGGAGCTCTATAATGTCCCTGAGGTCTATGCTGCTCCTGTGATCGCTTTGCTAAATGGAGAATGTTTGGACTCTCCTATCTGTGGTTGAGCCTTCTGGCCAAAGGTTTCTGAGCCCATTCATTATGGTAGTGGCTTTGCACAAACAGAAAGAGTCAGTTGTGTGCTCAACATGCTGGAACTCTCAGCCTTCTTGTTCCCATGATTGTGCAAAGGAGCAAGTAAGTGGTGTTGTGGGCATGCTGAGGTGGAGTTGTATCATTGAATTCCATACAAGCTACATGGCTGTCTAGTACTGACAAAGAAACTCCCTATGACAGAATTACAGTTTCTCTTCAGTGTAGCTGCAATCTGCTAAGCTGCAGTACTCAGTATCAGAGGAGGAGCTAATTTATATTAAAAATGGGTACAACATAGTAAAAAAACTCCTATACTCTTAAAAGTCCTGTGAAATTTTATGGTAAAACCTAATATTTGTGTCTTTGCAATGCTTTTAATTTTCCACTGTGCTTCTAAGCAAAACCAGTTTTCTTTTTCAAATTGTATTTTATGCTTCTGAATTTCTTCCTTATCGTGTTGCCTTGTGTGTGGGTCTTACCTTACAATCCCTGTCAAGCAGAACTCTATTGGAATAAATTCGGTGGAGTTCTCTTTAGTTTGATGTCTGATTTGACCAGTCATTCAAAGCTTATATGTAGACTTCAAACTTTATTGTTTATTTTAAACAAAACTGTATTTTCTTTGACAGGTATCTTATAAGAAGGATGTGCAAGACACTCATAGGTACACTGAAGTGCTGAACAGACCAGACATAATGAAGGCAACTGAGATAACAAAGATAATAAGTGATGTATGTTCTCCTTTTACTCTCTTTCTATTTTTTAGACATGTAATTTTTTTTTCCCCAATTTTAATCAGATTTTTTTAGAATGCTACTGGAATTCTCAAATGTTTTGAACAGAAAATGTGCACCCCCAAATCTGCTAGGGAGATTTGATTAAATGAAATCAAACATAACCAAAACAAACCAGTCTTGCCTGGCAGGCTAGAAAGCTATGGGTTTCTCCTTTTTAGATGTTGACAGTATGATCTTTGAAATTATTGGTAATTGATGTAAGGACAACATGAAAATTGTTAAAGTTGGTTTTGTTTCATCTTTATTTGTGATAATCATTCTCAAGATAAGTCATGTACTTGTATGCTATACTGCCCTTCAGAAGACATCCCAAACCTTTTTTTGCCTCGGTATGAGAGAAACTGGCATCCCAGGATACCCCTTCCTTTTGCCATCTCATCCAGCAGTGACAGGAAAATGTAATTCCCTGCTGTCCTTCCAAGAGCTGTTGGGATGCTGCTTCTTTCATAGGGGCTCTCCTCCCTGAACTCTCCTCTCAAATTCTTTGCCCCTCCACTGTGACCTTGGCTAACAGACAGGTGAAGGAGCAGTTTAAGAAGCAGCAGTGTGTGATGCAGTTCAGTATTTTATTGTAGACAAGGCAAACAATATATATACTTAAAGCCCTGAGTCAAGTTTTTAAGTAGTTAATTAAATGTGAGGCTGACTAGACACATTTGGAGAGACAGATTTAAGAGATTGAAATTCACCTTTCAATATTCAAGATTTTTTGAAAACCAAGAACTTCTACTAAGTGTTCTACAGCATTCAAATTTACTAATTGCTGTTCAAATGCTCTTAGAATTAGAGTGGCTTTGGAACTTTTATTTCTTCCAGTCTATTCTTATGATGTGTCCTTGCTGATTCACAGTGCTTGAGTAATGCAAGAAGCCTGTTTCAGGCAATGGGTAATTTAGGTTGTGGCATTGCAAAGCACCCATTGTTGATTCATCTGTGTTTTTTCCCGATACATTGTGGGGAAAAATTGCAGCAGTTTGCATGGCAGGCAGTTCAGCTGGAGAGATCAGGTAACATTAACCTTGCGGGACTAATTCAGCTCTGTGACACCAGCGCAGTCTCACTGACATCCAGCGAGACCGCAGTGCTAAAACTGAGAGCGGAATTTGACCTCACCGTTCAAAAAAGTTGCCCCTCAGACTAGTTTTATTTCAAGACTACTTTCAGCTGCTGCAAATCATCTTGGGTTAACTGTAGACCCTGTCATAAGAAATGCTGAGCCACTGTGACTCATTCTGCCTTGATCGGGAGGACAGTATTTCTCTGGCTTAAGCTGTGCATTTGGTTAAAATTGAATTCTGTGAATGCTGCACATTGTGTTTTGCAATTAATAAATATTATATTGTTAAGGAGCTGAACCCTGAGAAGGGCTTTACTCAGAGCTGATTAGAACAGTAGTCAACTCAGACCACTATGTGAGACTTTTTCTACTAGCTTTAATGCTTAAAAGCTAGTAGAAATTTTATCATTTCTCTTGATAAAACAAACCCAAACAATTTATTAGTGATTCATATCCCCCCCTTTTTTTTTTTTTTTATTTTTAAGGCAAAGTACAAGAAAGGAAGGGGAGAGCTGAATAAGGAGTCTGCTGTGCTTGGAAGACCTGATTTTGAACATGCTAAAGGAGTTTCAAAACTTTTAAGCCAAGTAAGATTCTCCATTATTTTACAATGATTTAATCCAAATATCTCATTCCTAGTAATGCAGAGAAATACTTACATTTTCAGATGATTATCTCTAATGGCCTTGAAGATTATGTTCTCAAACTTTTCATTTAGCATTGCAATCACTGGTAAATTTTGCATTCTTAGGAAACAAAATAGACATTTTGAAGCAAAAATACAATGAACTTTGACTATAACTTGTCTCTTATGGAGATGGTGTATATTTATACAGATTTTCTAGGATTTCTAAAATATTAACTGTATGTAATTTAGAGGCAAATTTTGCTCCTCATTCAGTTTGAGTGGAACCTTACCCTGTGATTAATCCCACTGAAGTAACTGAGGTCTTTTGTGTAGCTGCTTGCTAATGTGAGTAATGGGATCTGAATTTGGCCTGACATGTAAACCACCCGCCTTCCTTCCCCCTGAAACTGAACCTTTTATGTACTACTGTTATATATTAACCTCAAAAAAAAAAGTCCTTAACTAAAAAGAAATCTGAAATAGAAATATTCCCTCTTCCTCTTAGTAGTTTTCTACTCATAAGATGTACACATAAGATCTCTACTACAGATCATCCTGACATTGTGAGAACAGATTTTTCACTGCTGATCTGTTTTTTGGATTTTTTTTCTTCCCCACCTCCTTTTTTTTGGTCTGAAGTAGTTCTTTAACAGTGCCTTGCATAATCCTTGCTAGTAATCCTGTCCAGCTACCCTTGGAGCTTTTGAAAACCCAGGAACTGCCCTCCTGTAAGAGGAGGATAGTGCCCTTTGATTGAAGAAGGCTGTGTCAGCCTTCTCAGAGCCAAAAAACCTCTCAAGTGTAAATAGTGTATATTCTAGGACAGACTCAATACCAGTGATATGTAAAAAATACCTGTGATTTTGCCAGATACTAAATGTCTTCCCTAGAACTAGCATAAAATGAGGATAATGTGTCATAGAGAATAAGCTGAAAAACAGTGCAGTGTCTGCAGGAGGTAGAGCTCCTTTTGCTGTTATCCTTAGATACCTGCTGCATTCACACCATTGTAAACTTTGAAGCATTACTCAAGGAGAAAAAGAAGGAAATAAATATTTTTTATTGCTTTCTTGGTGATGTGCCCAGAATCAAAATGAGTTTGTGTTTTTCAAATAGATTTCTGTCTTCTATTTTATAGTGGATCATATTCTCATTTCTCTGCTGATGGGCAAGTCTGCTAAGAGATTATTTTGTGTTTAGCATTGTGCAGGCTTGGAAGTCAGCCTGTACTTTCTAGCAAGAGCCACTGTGATGCTGCTCAGACCTGAGTGTCACTTACAGGAAATGGGACTGTCATTTAGCAAACATGCTCAATGGTTTTTAAAAGGGTCCATATCCAAATTTAGTGTGTAATGTCCTTTATATCTACTCAATGGCTGCCTACCCACTCCTGTCCTTGCAGCTCACTCCTTTGAGCTTGCAGCTGCCTGTTTTTGCCAATGAGACCAGGCTGTAACCCTTTCCAATAGCCCTCTCCATCTTCCCAAGCCTGGTACCCGTGAGATTGTGGCCAACAATCACAAGTGAAAAATAACAGCTGGATCATGAGATCCTGCAGGCTGCTGAGCCAGCTACGTGGAAGGCTTCATCAATGCACTCTTTATCTCGTTTTTATTAGATGTGCTTTTTATCTTGGACAATGCAAGCTGCATCTGCAAATGCTTTATAATAGGGCCTCTTCACTGCCAGGAACTGGGATGGCAGCAGTTCTACTTGACATCTTCTGTGGAAGCAGCATTCACTGTGCAATTTTAACTTCTTTAGAGAGTCCAAATAGTGCAGAAGGTGTGACAGGAAAGGAGAAGGTGACAAAATCTATCTTATATTTGGTTTATTTGTAAAGAAGATTCTTATTAAACCTTGGTGGTCCGAACTCTGCAGTCACTGGCCCTGGATCCAAGTTTTGGGATCCTTTCTTGCATTGTCCTCTCCTCAGTCTAAGCTGCTGTGTCTGCTTTGCAATGTGTGTGATGGGGACTGTGCTTTCAGAAGAGGGGGCAGCACCTCAGCCTGACGCTGTAGGGTGGAGGGTGCAAATGCTGGGCAGCTCTCAGCAGCAGGGAGGTGAACTCAGCAATTCCCCCATGTCCTCTGAAGGGAGGGCAGTGGCCATGAGTTGTCTAATGTTCTTATATATTATTTGAATAATTATAACACTTCGACACGCTAATCATAAATCAAGACCACAGAAAAATGAAGATGACCCCTGTGTCCAAAGAGCTGGGTGGTGAGGCAGAATGAGGAATGCACCTGTGCTAGAGGAGAAAAAGAGATCTAAATACGGGTCCGTCATTTCAGTCCTCTTCATGCAAGGATCATGAAACAGGCTTGTAACACTTACAAGATTTAAAAAGGGTAAAGTTAATGATCTCTTTATTGTCTCCAGACTTTCTGGCTTTTAGAGTTTCCATTTGTTTCTCAGAAAATGGGAAGATCATAAACTTTTTGTGTTGAAAGTTGATAATCTCCCTTAATTGCATGAATCTATAAGCTGCGACATGCAGAGAAATATTAGTTATTTGACCCTCACAGTAAATTTGCAAAGTTGACAATTCTGATGGATGTAATGGGAAGAGAAGATGATAACATGTTTTAATGTGGTGCATATGGGTAGGTAATTTAGGGAGTATAGAGAACAGGAGCAAGAAGAGGTCAGGCAGTGTGGGTGTAACGAAGGGAGAAAGCAATCAAGGCAAGCAGGAAAGCAAACAAAGCCAAGAAAATAGTGTTAATGTTTGACTGGCACTCAAGGCTCTACAGAAATCACTGTTTTCTCTCTCTCTCCTTTCTTTCCTTTTTATTTTTTATTTAACAAAGCTTTTGACAACAACAGCAGCAAAAATAATAGCTCCCAGAACTAGTATATTTACCCACAGCATGTGGTAACTCTTTTCTGTTGATTTTAAATGAAATTTAAAACAGAAACTGTGTTAGCCCTTGTGAAAACATGGAGCTTGTCAATTTGCCAAGTGTGCATTGTATAATTTGGGCTATTTTTTTCTATTTTTTAATTAAAACAAGCTCTTGTTCATGCCCTCTTTATGTTTTTAATGTGTTTTATTAGCTTTTTCAAAGAGCTGCTGATATGAAGTATTCCTCTTATGGTGTTTAGCAACTGGTTTTAAGATAAATAATTTTGGATATTCATATTTGTTGCTGAATCTGATGCTTATTGTTTTAAGGATAAAACTGTTAGGGGTAGAATGTTTTTCAAAATGCACCTTCTCTGAGATTTTTCAGTAACAACCTGAAGAGCCAAGGATTTTCTCAGTCTTTCTTTGCTTTAAACTCTGCTAGTGCTTTTAGCAATGAATGTTTCAATTTTGCTCTTTGTTTATGCTACATTTCCTTCAATATATATGTGCTCTGACAGGTTTTTTCCTTTTTTAAAGATGGTTTCATATGGTCATGAGGAAATGCTTTAGCTGCAAGTGTCTGCTTCATCATGGGATCCTAGTGGTTGAATGATTCAATTTTTGTAGTTTCTTTGTAAATCTGAACAGTGGGTGATGTCATCCACTTCTGAAACTGAACACTCCCTGTGTGAACAGCTTTGAACTACAGATTTGATTTAGGAATGTTGCTGCTAAGCTTCAAAAGACACTGCTCTGTCCAGCTGCAATTCTGACTTTTATAGGTTTTGGGCAAGGCTGATGAGAAGTTTGTTTATCCAGGCCTTATTTAATTCCAGTTTGGTTTTTCAGGGATGTTGTTGTGATAAAAGCCTGCAGAGTCTGCTCTTTCTTAAGGAGTCTTTAGAGAGCAACCTCCACGCATTTCTTTTAAATTAACCCCCACCATATAATCTCTAAAAAAATAAACAAACTTAAGACTTTAATGAGGATGGTAAACAAGTAACTGTCCTTTTAAGCCCTCATTAAAGTAAAGCTTTTGGTTAATGATGAAATTTTTAGGTAAGTGTCCACTAACAACTGTCAATTCTACTCCCACTTGCTTGCTCTTCCACCATATTATAGCCTTGCAAAGACCTCCCCCTTTCAGATGGTTTAGAAATCATATGAGGTATTTTTCTTCCTTGTTTTTATTCAGAACTCTTTCTCTCAGGCATGTTTCCTCTCTTTAAACTGCATTTACCCTGTTCAAAAGGATGATGAATTCTGCGTGGTTTCCTTCACCATGACTCATCCATGGGCTTGCTCTTCTTTCTTCACTCTCTCCCACCCCACGCTTCCTTTGAAAAGGGAGAAAGAACCAGAAAAATGGTAATAAAAGAGAAAGTGTACATCTACATAGCTGTCAATGCAACAAGTCCCCTATGGCAGGTCAGTTAAATGGCTGCTGCAGTGTTCTGGAGACACTGCCAGGGTTGTCTGATCACTGCTGTGCTCCACTTTGCCCAGAGTGACCCGTGTGATGGGGAGGGGAGCCAAGGCAATGAGCTGAGCAGCCAGGGCAGGCAGCAGGGCCTGGGGCTGTAAGACAGCCCTACTGCAACCAGAACATTTACACTCACCTTGGCTGGGGGGTTCCTTTAGTTTTGAAACCCTCCTGGACATCAGGATATGGGGCCCTGTGACGACTGGGTTCACTGGTCCCCCCTTCAGTGGCAGCAGTGTGATCTGAAGTGACTCTGAAGAGGGGCTGCTACTGGAACCTCTAGATTGAAATGTACTGCTAAAAAATTTTTAATGATGGCATGAAATGAAGATGGAAGATGGCAAGCCAGTTGTGAGGAGAGGTCCCTTAGGCACCAATGCTTTCCCACCTAACAAGAATTTCAATACCATGTTGTGCATTTGGTCTGTGTGCACGGTTTGTGGCATTTATTGGCCAGGAGAAGGCAGCCTGTAGTAGCTGGATGTTTAAAGTCTTATGCTTGGTGTTGTTGTGATGTGGGTAGAGGAGTAAAAGACAGTTTTGCTCACCCAGCTGTCTTGATCTCTGGCTTTTTGAATGGCATATTACAGCACTGCCTGATTTTCATTAGAAGGCAAATTTTGGATACACCTTTTAAGAGAGAAAAGCAGTCTGATTTATTCCTTCACTGCTCATTCAGAGCATGGATTTGCCTTTGTCTTTGTATTCAGATATATGCTTTTGCACTTGATCCAATGCCAAGGCAAATATCAAACAATATAAACCAGATGAATATACCAGAAGGCAATAGATACTCTCTTCTTCTGTTAGTGTGAAAGATTATGAAGTTCATCATGTGTTCAGATAAAGTTTCTCTTTAAAAGTAATAATGTTTTAGAATTTCCTTACTTCTGAAAATTAACTAGGTGCTGGAATAGTAATATAGTGCTTGAACATATGTGGCTGGTTCCTGTTTGTGTAGCTTAGTTTTGGTTTCTTGTTATCCTGATTATCTTTACCCACAATGTCCACTATTTCATTAATGAGGTTGCATAAGCTGAATCATGTTGAGGGTCTTTTGAGGCAAGGAAGAACTGAAAAGGGAAAAAACCCTCTTCCCACAACTAAGACTGAGAAAAAAGATTGAAATTGTTTGAGGTGGCTTAACCACTTTATCAGACATTCATGTGGGAATAGAGAAAAAAGGAGTAGGGAAGAATCCATGTATTTATTTAGTGCAGAGCGTGGTAAATTATAATGGATGTTGCATAGGCTCAGATATCAGGTGTCTGCCTAAACTTCATGAAAGCAGCATAATTCAGACTGAACTTTATTCTCCTCCATTATGCCCAGCTGTTGGAAAGAAGCAGACATGTGTGCAGAGTCTCCAGATGTTTGATGATTGCTCACAAAGGAAGCAAAGAAGGGAGATAGTGATTTGTTCAATTTCATATTTTCAGATTCTGAATGCAGTTTTTCAGCATGTTTTATGGAATTTTTGTGACTTATTTACCTTTACTGCCACTGTCTCCATATTTCTGTATTGCTTATTTCCTCTTACAAGTATTGTCATTCCCCCTTTTTCTTTGAGTGAGAAGAAAAAGATGATGAAGGTGATGGCAGGCAGTCATTTAATTATGCTTTCCAGCACTGTGATGAGGTGGGCATTATCCCCAAGAAAGGACTGTACTACAGAGGGATTCCTCAGTGTCCTCTGGGAAATTTCTGGCAGAATTAAAAATAGACTGGCAGTACTGGTGGCAGTCTAACATAGTGGGAGTGACATGTGGGCCTGCTGGTGGAAGTTTGATTCTGGCTTCCCACTTTCAAGCAGTTGAAAAATTTACAAGTGATTTGTTTTACAAATGTTAGAATTTATTCATCTTAGAATTTTTTTTGTTAAAACCACAATTTTGGTGTTCATTATGAATCAACTGATTCTTTATTTGAGTACTGCTAGTCAATTTGACTATTGTTAGTCAAAGAGTTCTGTTTTATTTGATTACTCATGTGAGTCCTATGGTCTTGTTTCTGTTTTCTTTTTATACATCCCTCAGCACCAGTAATCACATATGACAATCTTAAAATTTTAGTAAACATCAGATATATAAAACAATTTGAAACCAACACAAGACTGTCACAGGTGTGGGTAAACTAAGTTTCTTTAAACTTTGTTTAAAGATTTATAAATAAAGTAATTGCATTTAATAAGCTTCTTTGTAGTCTTAATTCTCTGCCTTCTTTAAGTGCTACATTTTAACATTAGACATATTTGTTCTTGTGAAAGGTAAAATACAAAGAGAAGTTCAGTAAGGAAATGAAGAGTCACCATTACAATCCTCTTGACAGTGCTTCCTTCAAGCAAGCACAGATTGCATCCTCCTTGGCAAGTGATGTAAGTTAATTTGCTTTGTATTTTATGTGCATTTACATCCTAAATAATCAAACATTTGTTCACAGGCAGAATTTATTTTTTCATCCCCTGAATTCCTCTGAGTTACAATGTCTGCTATACAGTGTGTAGCAGGTACAGCATGTTACCAGTTTCTTCCTCTGCTTCTGACTGAGGGCCTGAAGAGTTTTTCATAACCATTTTAGATGAGATTCGTCTTGCTTAATTTTGTGTGTCAAAAGGTGTGACCTCTTACTCTGAGCTAATTGCCTTGTACTTGGTCCCTTTTTATTCAGGAAAGAAATAAACATGTCTAGAGGTCAATTCTTCTCACCTGTTAGAAGTGCCTGTCTTTAGAGGAGCAAAGTACTGTCATCTCTCCAATGGTTATAGAAGGAGGTTACATGAGCTGTTCAGATTTGGATGTCTGTCTTTTAGACTTCATTCTTCTGGTTGATCTTCTCAATGGTATTACAAAATACAGCAGTGACTAAGTTCAGCAATGGGTGGCTGCTGCTGGAGGCAGACTAGAGAAAACATCTATATTGAGTGATAATGCTCTTGGGATGATATATTTAAAAGTATGTTTAATGCTAAAAACACCATCTCTTCTTTGAGGCTGTGATCCCAGACAGCCAAAAGAGAAGCCTTCATTCTGTAGTCCAGCATTTCTGAAGTGTGAGGTACTATGCAATGGGAACAGGAAAGACTGGCTCTGGGAAGCGTACAGAAGATGATGTAATTATTTCCAAAATCTAAATGTATGGTAAAAAAAATCGGTTGAAGCAGTTATTATTATAAGAAATGGGCAAATTAAAGTGAGGAACATGATACATGTGGGGAAATGACTAAAGGTATTAGTTGAAAAGATTTCTCATCCAAGATAGGTAAGGTAGCTTTTCTTCCTGTAAAGTTGGGCATACAGGTCTTCAGGTCTACAGGTTTTCCATTCTCAGAAGAATGGAAAGTCCTACTGTAGGCTGATGGGAGGTTACTTTCTGCTGCTTCATTAAATAATTATCTTTTGCCTTAGGTCACCATATTGCTTATATTTGCTGCAAGCAATCTATATTGGATAAAATATCCAGGAGCACTTCCCTTTAGCTGCTGTATATCAAACTTCTAAATTGGATGGTGTGATTCCTGAAGCTGGGGAAAAAGAATAAGAATTAAAGGTGTTTAAAATGAATAGACCCAAAGTCTTGAGGAAGATACTCTTGATTTAAGTAGGGGGTGGGAAGGCAGGGGAGAGGAATAAAGAAGAAAATTAATTCTAGCCTGAAAAGTGATACAAAGTGTGATTTTGTTGAAAGTGTCCTTGTTTGGAGGAAAAGTTTGAGTAGTTCCTAAGTACTTACTCGGCAGAATGAGTCCTATATTGGTCTTTCCTTTTCTTTGAAATAATAGTAGATGACCACCATCTAGTGGCTGGGAGAGATTGTTCAGGCAAGCACTTAATGTTTTGTCTTTCTGAATGGTCATACTGTAATACAGAACTGTGAATTATTTTATTAATCTTTAGTTTGCATAACCTGAATTTTCTTTCCAGGTGAACTACAAGAAAGATTTGGAAAGCCTACATGATCCAGCATCTGATCTACCAAACCTGCTGCATTTAAACCATGCTTTAAATATCAGCAAAACACAGAGTGATGTAAGTTGCCTTTTAAAGAATGACCTAAAAAATAAATCTAGTAAGGAATGTGCTATGTATAGTCATGGTAGGAAACTCATTTTTGCTCTCAAATGTAGTGGGAAATAGTGTTGTAACTGTAGTAGATGAGAGGTGTAGTGAAGAAAAACAGGTTTTTATGAAGACATATTTCAGTTATTAGAACAGATAATATATACTGTGGAAGAATCACACAGACTTCTGATGTTGAGTGGTTCTTTTCATATATCTGAAACATTGACTGTTTTCCTCTTTGTTCTAAGACCTAAGATTCTTCTTTCCTTGCAAATCTCATTTTGTCTAAGATCTTGCTTTCATCTGCAAGTCTCTGAACAGAAGTGACCATTGTGCTAGTTTCATATTCGGACATTTTTCATGAATGGCCTCTGGAGTCATAGCTTACTTTTGGGCTTCTCTGGCTAAGCTTTTTTCTGACTCTTTCTGACTCTTCCTGCACTGGGTCAGATAAATAGGCACATGCTCCATTCTGCCACGTAGCAAGACATGGCCCTTGATGGGGCTGGTGGTCTGCCATATGATCGTGGTGGGGGTTGAAGTAGGAGGAAGAGCTGGGAAACTCTTGGCTCCTGTGCCATGATGAAGCTTCTTTCCCACTCCAAGAGCACCTGTGCTGCATGTCTGTTAGCTGGGCAGCTGCATTTGTCATCTTCACTCCAGAAAGCACAGCAGGCCAGCAGAACTACTGCAGAGAGGTACGAGTGGATGGTGTTGGGAAGGAAGGAAGGTTGCTCTATGGTTGGCAGGAGTTGAGTGTTTTATAGACAACTCTCATGAGTAGGAGCACACTGGGTCATTTTTGAGTCAGTGCCTGCTTATGTCTAAAATAATCAAAACAATCCATCTATATTTGATTTTTGTGTTGGTTTTTTTTTGAGAATTGAAGCTTTTTTTTGTCTGTCTTACTCTCTCTGTGAAGGTAACACTGACTATCCCCTTTTGTATGAGTAATAAATGAGTTGGAGTCTTTTCTTCCTGAATTCTTCATGCACTTTTTGGCCCAAATCTAGTTTCCTTCTAGCATATGGTAAGATTGGCAGTCCTTTTGTTGATTAAATGAGTCCATCTTAGTTCATCAGTTTATCATCTTAGCTCTAAATTTCTGGACTTTCCCTTAAGGCAGATCATGTCTTGCAAAATGAATTTCTTTCTTTTGTCCTGGAGGGGTTGATTCATAATGTCCATGTGCTTGTCTGGCAGCTCTGTAAATACTAAACCTATGATTTTTGCATTGTCCAGATCCTGGCGGGTATTTTTATTTGATACAAGAAGAGTTGTACCAAATGCTTTGCCAATCCCTAAGCTCTCCACTAAATAGTTGTCTTGTAAAGAAATCCCATTTTTACAGTCCTTCTCAGATTTGACCTCCCCATGTCATTGCTTTTATTTAAACACAGTTTATTCTTCTGCCTTTCTCTAGTACATTCCTTGTGTTCTCCTTGGCTCTCCACAGCTCATACCAAATCTGTTTTGTAATCTGCCACCATTGTAAAAAACAGTCTAAACAGTCTAACTGACTTCCCTGTGTTAACTGATTTCCAAAGACTGTTTCTTTTCTTTTTTTTCTTTTTTTTTCCTTTCCCCTTCTGAAACACAGAGCTGGTTGCTAATTGCCTGATTTTTCTGTTTCCCTGCAGTATACCTTTCTCCATTAAAACCTATATGGTTAATTAAAATCATAAACTAATATTGTTGATTGAATGAATGGTTTTTCTTATTGACCTGAAGTGTAGAAGTTTGTACACTTTATGAAGCACTTACACTGTAATTTCAAGGCAAGGGTGTTATACAAGTCAACTTCCATGGGAATAAATGCCAACAGTTAAGAGGAAAGCTTGATGGGCATCTTTGGATATAAATAAACTGATTTGAACAGGTCAAACTCATCCTGGTTTTATTATTGTGTTGAGGAAGAAAATTACAAGGTAGAATTCTCCCTTCATACAGTATTTCCTGGTTTCACTTGGGATGGAGTTAATTTTCTTCCTAGTAGCTGGTGCAGTGCTGTGTTTTGGATTTAGGATGGCATCAGTGTTGATAACACACTGGTGGTTCAGCTGTTGCTGAGCAATGCTTGCACTAAGTCAAGAACTTTTCAGCTTCTTATGCAGCCCTGCCATTGAGGTGGCTGGTAGTGCATGAGAAGCTGGGAGAGGAGACAGGGTCAGCCAGGAGAGCTGACCCAAACTGGCCAAAGGGATATTCATACAGTGTTGTTCTCAGTATATAAACTGGGGGAAAGCTGGCTAGGGGTTCCTTCTCAGGGGCAGGCCGAGCATTGATAGGTTGGTGGTGAGTGAACTTTTTTTCATTTACATATTTTGGTTTTTTTTCCTTGAGCTTTTTTTCTTCCTCTTTTTTTTTTTTCCTTTTATTACTGCTGCTGCTGCTGCTGCTGCTTATTATTATTATTATTATTATTATTATTATTATTATTATTATTATTATTATTATAGCTTATTTTATTTAAATTATTTAACTGTTCTTATCTCAAACCACAAATTTTCTCACTTTTACCCTTCTGATTCTCTACCCCATCCCATGGGAGTAAAAGTGTGTGAGCAGTTGTGTGGCTGGCTGTGGTTAAACCATGACAGATATATATGTAATTCTGGTATGAACTATGGAGACACAAAATTTGACACTTTGATATATGTAGAACAGCTAGTTTAATGTTTTTCACATTTTAAAACTGTTCCTATTGTGGAGACTTTGAGATACTTATGAAATACAGGCTAAAAAGGGGGGAACATAGATGTATTTCATTTTAATGAACAGGGTGAATAAATAGAACTTCAGAGACTGAATCTGGTGCTTGTAGCTTAGCTTAATGTAGCAAAACATTATGAGCTTAGCTAAGTTGATTTTATAGAATTTCTTAAAAATTTTCTCCCATTAGCTGAGGGATGGAGTAAAAGTATGAGATCAGTGTCTGTAGATGGAGGTAATTTTAATTTGTTCCTACTACTAAGGTGATTTTGTTGTGTGACATTTATAGTTCTTTCCACTAGGAGGCAAACCCAGACCATCATATGTGTTCCTTTGCACTTCAAATACAAATAACAATGTTTATTTTCTATGGAACATAAAAACATCTGACTTTTAGATTAGCAGGAAAAATATTTTCTCTAGAATGTACAAAAGCTATTTTTAATCATATCTTTTTTTTTTAAATTTCATCACAATATTTTAAATTCACATTTGGTAAAACTCCCCAGTTTGTAGGTATAGTTTCTTCCTTCTATGTTTTTTCTTTCACAGTTATTTTAAATAGTATTTAAATTTCAAAACCTTCTGAATTTTGCCTATGAAAACATTTTTTGAATTTTTTTGTTTCAGTATGAATAGAAGAAATCATTTAAGCAAAGCAATTGTTTCTAGAATTTCAGCCCAGACATTGCAGAACAAATCCATTTCAAAAAAAATGCAGTACTTCAAAGTCAGGTGTACACAACCACAAATGAACACATCTTGCAAAGAAAGAAATTCAGCGTTTTACCAGTGGTTGAATCATGCACAAAGCCACATAATGGATTTCAGTGTTGTACAGTGCATATTCAATCAGAAGCACCCCATGAGGAGAGAGGAGAGTGTTTTTGCAGGACCCAGTCTTAATGCAGAAGCCTGACAGAGAAAGAGAAATTCAGACATTGCTATTTTTGAAGAGATATAGAAATTAAAATTACATTACTCACTAAAAATGTAATATTTTGATTTGTACCTGTTTGCTTTCCTTTAAGGCTTGTGTAGACTATTCCATCATGCCCCACAATGACTGATGGAGATAAGTAATGTGTTTGCCAGTCTTAATCAAAAGAGTGTGAATGAATGAGTTCAGAAGGGTTCTCCAGGTTTCCAAACAAAGTGTATTTCCTTTGTGAGTTAGCATAAAGGAATAAGTTGGTGTCTTAACCCTGTGTCCTTCACTGTGATTTTGCTGCCAGCTCTAAGGTCATAGTCCCTGGTAGATGTGAGGGCAGTGTTGCTGCAGGACAGGGCCCTACCAAAGCAGTAGTTTTCCTTGCCTTCTCCTTCCCACAGGTATAAACAAAAGTGCATTTGAAAGTGGTACTTCTGAGCCTGGAACTAAGACCTGTGGGGCCTGGCTGTGAAACAGATTTCGTTGCTGTTACAGTAAATGTGTTGTTTTATGGGAACAGCAGGGGATCCCATTAAAAAGCTGCCAAGTGTTCAGACATAGGTCATTTGGTCAAACCCATGCAATTGGTTTAAGGATTGTACTTGATGCTCCTTATTCCTGTTGTCTTCAAAGTTCACAATTTCTAGGTCTGAATTGTGTAGAAAAGGAATAAATGACTCCAAAACATATTACCGTATCTAACTGACCAACAGGTTAGGTTTGGGAAAAGTCTTCCAAATCAAAATATCTAAGGAGGATGGCTAAGACAGGATTTGTTTCTTGCCAAGGGAAGCAATCAGATCTCATATTCTCTCAGCTGCTAACAGACTTTATTTTAATTTTACTAGGTCAAGTACAAAGAAAGTTATGAAAAATCTAAAGGCAGATCAATGCTGGAGTTTGTGGATACACCAATGTATCAAGTTTCAAAGGAGGCTCAGAAGATGCAAAGTGAGGTAAGTAAAAATTTACTTTTTGAACAAGTAAAATTTAGATCAACAGACAAGTTAACAGATGTCTTGTACTCAGGTTAAGAAAATGTACGAAGCAGAGAGTAAATTGTGGGTATGGTAGAGTTATACAAGGAGTTCTCTGCTGCTCTGTAGTTCAGTTCTTGTGAATTTGCTTTTTTCTCAAAAGGCCATTGGTACTAACAATACACACACATCATTTAATTGAGAAGAAGCTCAATAGATCATCTAGATCTATTAAGAATATTTGAGTATTAAGAATAGATTTTAAAAGTTATTAACATTTTAAAATTTTCACTTGAATTCCATCTTTAGGGAGGGATGGTTCTCATGTGGGAGCAAGTGAAGCCACAAAATCCAGTCCAACCCCATGATTTAGCTGAAACATCCTCCTGCCTTTCCAGCCTGGGAAACTCATCAAGGAAGAGGGACTGTTCCCAGGCTCCAGAACAGCACTGGCTGTCTTATATCAGGCCATGTTTTTCTAACTTTTTAAAAAAAACTTCAAATGATGGAGATTTTGTGACTTCCCAGACAATCTAGTCCAGTGCATTACCATCCATCCTGAGTGAGATGGATGCACCTGTGTCCCCGTGCTGCAGTTTGATTCCATTAGTTTTGCTGTGTCATGGAAAACAGATGATCTCAGCCTCTTGGTAGAAACTTTAATGAGTTTTAATCCATTACCTCGTGTGCCATTTGTCTTCTCTTTTCCCTACCAAGAAAATGGTTTCTTCCATAGATCAGGTTCAACCTTCTCTTTGGACATACTGTACACATATTTTTGTCTAGATTGTATCTGTTTGTATAAATAAACGAGATAATGAAATGCATAATGAGTTGCTTATTAGTGTGAAATATAATTTATGGCAGGGCTCATTTCTGGGTCTGTTTACAATATCTCTCCTGAAATGTGCTTGGAATTGCATATGTATGTGCCACTAATTGTTGGTTTTGCTACGATAGAAAACGTACCGCAGAGATTTTGAAGAAGGGATCAAGGGAAGACCTTCACTGGATTTAGACAAGACCCCAGAGTTCCTGCATATAAAACAAGTCACTAATCTTTTGAAAGAGGTAAAGGATTTTTTTTTCAGTTGTTAAGTTGTAAATGAGCAATAAGAAGCATCAATACAAGCTGCTGAGTGCTGAATAATTTGAAATTTTCTTGGCAGCTACATACAAGTCACTTCCCAAGTAAAAATTCCTTCACATCATTTTGTATTCTGAATAGTCCTGTAGTAAGGAAATTATAAAGCTCAGCACACCTGAACCAGACTATCCCTTCTCTTTTCAGATAGATAAAGGGGTGGAAGGAAGGATTTCCATTGGTGTCCAGATGGCAGTTTTTCCCTTTGAGTAATTATTTCACATTAATGGTAGACAGTTGTGGTTATACAAATGCCTTGAACTGCATAGAGTCAATTATAACTAACTTTATTAAAATAATTGTCTATCATACATGCTAAGGATAAAAAATGAAGAAGACCAAAATTCCATAATAGAGCTGTGATATTGCATAACTACTTTAGTCCATTTTGTTAGAAGGTACATGTTTTCTGTATGCCTACTATTTCCTTCAGATTTGTGAAATGTTCTTCAGTTGTATGTGTCACTAAAAGTGAAATATTTTTTTTCCATCACTGAGAATCCTTCTACTTTTAGTATTTTTATATTATTATTTAAAACTGATTTCATGTTAGGTTTTGAGTATTGTTTGACCAAATTTAGAAGAGCTAGAAATGCTGGAAGAGCAGTGCTACTAGGTGTTCTGCCTTTGAATCTGGAAGCCAACAATACTTTGTATTTATGATATTAGGAATAGATTTTTTTTGCCAAAACAAATAAGGCACATTAGAATTAAAAACCCTTGAACTTTGTTCCTTTCCTTGTTCTTTATACAACTTATTCCAGTCCATGCTAGATTTCATATGGTTAAAGAAAAAAAATTCTTTTAAGATACTCCTTTAAAATTCATTGTCTAATAAATAATTTATTCTGATAAGTCTGACTGTCAGGTAGGCAAGTCTCAAGGTAGGTCTGTTTTGTGCAGTGTCATTCTGTGGTACATCTTCTGTGGTACATCTTCTGTGGTACATGCCTTCTCACTAGGGAAAAATGCAAATCATGCTGTCATCTCATTCAGTTCATCTTGCTGCTCACCAAATGCCCAAAGAAGTGGGTACTGTACACACAGTTGTATCTTGTGCTCTATATGTTCATCTCTGACATTTTGATGTAGCTCCTCTCCTTAGTGCTAAATGCATTAAGATGTTCTCTAATTCTGGCCTCCTCAAGTTTTATGCCTTCTTATTCAGGGAGTAAACCATGCCTGTAAGTCAAAGGGGAAGGAAATGAGAAAATGAAAATGGTATTTCCATTAATGCATAACTGCATGAATTTCTGAGGATTTTATATCCACATCCAAGGAACGTATTCCAAACTCAAAGATTACCTAGGTAAAATTAATTATTATCTTTCATGATTCAGAAAAATTATGTATTTCTTCATAGTCAAGGATGTTGGTCAGTGTTTTTCCATAATGATTCATAATCAACTTTGAATAGATACTGCATGAAACAAGAAAAACCTGGAGTTAAAAATGAATTAATTGTTCCATCACTTTTTTTTTACCCAAATGTCAGCTGTGTTCCAGCTTATTCTGTTGACTTCCCACTGTAGAGAATTCTGCAAATATTTCACATTTTATAACAATACAAACTTTCTTCTCTGAGACCACATTTACAATTCCTTCAGAAGAGATAACTGAATTAAATAGTTCAGAGTTTAATAGTTCTAAATTAGAAGAAATTTTTTCCTGCTTTTTGCGGGACATGGTTTTGATGATCAAGAGAAGCATCTTTAAAAATATCTGGTTTCCTTTTATTTAAATAAAGGGAGATCAAGGTGCTCACTGCCTCTTATGAATCTTAATATGTAGTTAGGAGTATTAGTTCATGTCTATGTAAATCATTCTGATAAATATTTTGTGCAATGTTCTTCTAATTTCTTTGCCCAAGAAAGCCTAACCCTTATCTGGAGATGTGAAGAGTAATTAAAAATCCTTACAAAACGTAAAGATCTTGAACTTCAATAGGCTTACATCAGCTCTCTAGGAGCTGGAAAGAGCAAAAAGAACCAAATGTCTGTGGGCAGGTTCTAGTGTGCTTTGAATTTCATACTGAATATTTGAGTACTCTGGAGGCTGCAGTTGCTGAATGTTGATAGGTCATACCAGTGCACGGTCTAGGAGGCACAGGAGTGATATGGTAGGAATATTGCTTCTACATTTTCATTTATCAAGAGGTTGTTTTAACAGGTCCTAGTATGGTGTTTAGGGAATCCATCCTGATTGGGATGCCATTAATGGAACTGAGGTAAAAACCGTAGCACTGCTGGTCTGCAGCAAGAAAATGCTACTGCAGTGAAAATATCTGTCCAGAGACAGACAAGGCCCCTAAACAGTGTGCTAGTGCTATATAAGACACAGCTGGTTTTCAAGAGCACAAAAAATAGATGACAACATTGAAATCTTTTTACTTTTTTAACATTGTTCCTTTTCATTTCACAATTTCCAATTCTATTTTAAGTATGAAATCTTTACTTCAGCTAATTCATATTTCATAGAAATTTCAAAGAGACTCTTCAGATGTTTAATAAGTGGCATTTCTTTTCAAGATCTCACACAAAATAAGAAGTGGTGAAATCTCTCTCTCTATCTCTCTCTCTCTTTTTAATCCTTAGAAAGAGTATCGAAAAGATTTGGAAGAAGGGATGAAAGGGAAAGGAATGACAGTGTTTGAAGATACACCAGATTTGATTAGAGTGAAAAATGCAGCTCAGATACTAAATGAGGTATGTTATCCTAGTCAAGGTTATTAATATCACAGAAGATTCACTTTGTATAAAACTCAAAAGATTCCTTTTTTTTTAAACATAATCCACAATGAAATATGTAAGTATTGAAACTAAGGCTATTTCTGTTTTGCTTGAAAAATATAGTAAAGCTCTGGATGAAAAACTACACAGGACAGATAATTCAGATTTTCAGGCAAGTAAAAGGGCATTGGAAATTATTAGTGGGGTCAGTTGAATCCAGCATTTAGAGCTGGGTTCTACTGAGACTTTCCCAGTGCATGAGTTCGGGTGGTCATCCAGACATCCAAGGGGAGGTTGTAGGGAGAGAAGAGGGAAGGCAAAGCTCCTGCTTCATGTTATGCCTGGGGAGAATAATTTCAGAATTATATATATATATATATAAAATTTTATTTATTTATTTATAGTATTTTATATATATATGTTTATTCACACACACATGTACACAGAAAAGATATTTTTATATTTATATACATATTATATATATACACACATGTACACACACATTTATCCATAAAAAACAGAGGGAATGCCATGGATAGGGCAAATTTGACCACTGTAAAGAAATGCAGGAATATATAGCTGTAACTCCTCAGGTTATCTTTTCCTTGGTGTTTTACACAATAAGAAGCTTAGAGGAAACATCTGACATCCTACCTTTAGCAGAGAGGAATTGAGGGATGATGTATTCTTACAGGTTAATTTACAATTCTTGCAAAAAAACATGGTTTGTGAAGTAGAGGGCTGTTTTATCACATTTATTTCTACATCAGTGGAACAGAGATAGAAGACTGAAAGTCTTTTTGCCCATGTTCTTGTAAGTGATCAAACCATTGTATTGAGTACAAACACATATTTCTTTTTTTCTAACTCATGTACAAGCTAAAAGTAATTAACAAACAGAAAAGTAAGAGGCATTTAAAAATTGTATATATTATATGTATTTACTTTGAAAAAGAAGAATTTTCCACAGGCAGAAATGATCTGGAACAGAAAAAAGAATTAGTATTACTACAATACTGAAAATAGAAATAGTACTGGCTGAGAATATTTTTTATAAAAAACATTACAACTGTTGTATACAATATTTCCATATTACTTTTTAATATAATTTGCTGATGAACAAGGAGCATATCCTTGCTTGGCTAAGCTGAAGATGAAATATTAATTTTGTTTTCAGTTTATTGGTTATTTATAATTTATATCGCGAGGAAAAAGCAGCAATCACAGATGAGGACTGCCACTTGCCTAATGGCTATGGTTCAGGAAGGACCTATTAAATGAATAAATTACAACTTCCTGATCTGGAAGTTCACTGGAAGCAGTTCTGTATGGTATTAAATTTCTAACATGTAGTCTTGTCATAAATAAAATATTTTCTTAAAAGTAAAATGTGTTTCAATTAGACTGGCACCAAGGACAGACTTATTACGCCATGTTCTGCAGAGCTAAACTTCCCCTTTACTTTAGAAGAAAACTGTAGCAAGATGCATGGGCTGATTTCCTCCCACCCTCTGCCACATTAAAAATTCATTGATAGAAATTTGTACATTCATTGAAAATCTTCTAAAAGTTTTCCTCCTGTAGTTTGTTATGTGTTTTTTCTGACAACAGCTCACCAAGAGTCTTGAGAACTGTGACTCTTGCAAGTTTTGATTGACTCTAAATCCTAAATTTGAGTATCTTGTGGAAAAAAAATCTACTTGTAGCTCTCTGAATTTTGTGACTATCATATATAAATTCTATCTTCACAGAGGCAATACAAGAAAGACTTGGAAACTGAAATTAAAGGGAAAGGCATGGATGTCGGTCCAGATACACCTGAGATAAGACGAGCCAAGAAAGCTTCTGAAATTGCAAGCATGGTCAGTACCGCTCCTGGGGCGAGCTTTCCATTTGACAGAATGCAACAAATCATTGTGGGTGAGAATTCCAGATGGTGGCCAATCTAGGCAGTCCTGAAAACACAGATTTCTCTAACTAGCTAATCCATTGAGCTGCAAAGAGTTGAATAGGTGCATAATCAGTGTAAGGGGGGAAGTTAAGACTTCCCAGAACTTAGACTTTCCTATCATCTTTTGCAGGTTGTGCTTGTTCCTCATGAGCCATGCCTGGCCTGGGGTGTGCTTGGTCACTGTGGGCCCTGCTGCTCTTAGGTCTAAATAGCTGCTTATTTAGGTAGGGCCAACTGATAAACAGAGTTAGAGGGATGCTAAAGCATTATGACCTCAGTCTTGCAAGGCCCAGCAGATGGAGAAATTCTCACATGAGTCTGACTGTGGCTGCCAAAACTGCAGAGACAGGTAGATGTGGCAGGCTACATTATATTTGAAGTGAGCAGCCTGTTTAAAGAGTTTTTTAACCCATCAGCAACTACAGTGTAGGCATTGCATGGATAGGTTCTACAAAACTAGTACTGTTGAATCATCAGTTATTTGGTGGTTTATGAATGCTGGGCGGTGAAATTGCACAGATTAAATTGGGAAAAAAATTAAGAATTTGGCTGTCAGCTGTGAATATTTCCAATGCTGTTCTTTTCAGAAAGAATACAAGAAAGATTTGGAGAATGAAATTAAAGGAAAGGGAATGGAAGTGGGTACTGATACCCTTGATATACAACGAGCCAAAAAAGCTTCTGAAATTTTCAGCCAGGTGAGTACAGAATTAATTGCTTTAAAATTACTTTGAAAGTAAAACACAATGAGATGTTAAAAACATTAAATCCTCTTGAACATTCTTAAACTAAAAAAGCAAGCAGTGCAAAATAAAAATATTAAATTGAATAAATTGAAGAATTAATTTTTATAGTGTGACCAGTACTATGAGAATAGCTTTGAAGACAGCATGTACAGACAGTTGTAGTATTAGTTATGTGGTTTTTTCCCCTTCATTTTTTCTTCAGAAAGGATAGGATAATTTTTTATTCAGAAAGAATAAAAGGGATCTGGGGACTGAAATGATAGGAAAAGGGATGTAAGTTGGTCCAGATATTCCAGAAATATGGTGGGTCAAAAAAGCTTCAGAAGTAGCAAGCCAGGTTGACCTAGTCAAAAGCTGAATGTTTTAATTCTGTGTAACAATGACTGCTTGAAAAACTGCTCAAAATACTTCTTCTCTAGCTCTGTAGAGGTTTTCATTGCCATACTAAATTAATTTACATGTAGTGAAATGTCTTAACTGCCTGATTCTTATTTGTATTTTGGCCTGTTACACCATGTAAATTGAATTTAATTATTTACATCTGCCTGTAGTTCTTTTCACATTACCAAATTACCTAATGTTACATTACCTATATCCTGACAGTGAGGGGAAGATATGTATGAGGATACATTACGTATGAAGGTATGTTATGTATGAGGATATATTATATATAGGTATATTATATATGCTTTAGTGTGGGGGCAGACAGTGGTACACAGTATAATGGAGAAGACAGGTTTAAGTAAATACTGGACAGGGATGAGGAGGCTTATCAGCAATAGGAGCATCTTTTGTGCAGTTTGTTTATCTTCAGCCCAAAAAACATAGACCTGTAAAAATTATTTTTCCAGAAAATGTACAAAGATGAAGCAGAGAAGATGCTCTGCAACTATTCTGCTGTCCCAGACACTCCTGAGATGGAGAGGATACGAAGTACTCAGAAAAACATCAGTTCAGTGAGTAATAGTGCTTCTTGCTTTGCTTGTAACTTTTCAGATATTTTTTAGTTTCAATAGGCTCTCTTGTGCCACAGAGCAAAATAGGGAACTTATGAGTAGGTGTCCTTTGAACCATTTCCATAATTTTCCTGGCAAAACTGTATCACTCGTTTCTTTCAGTAAAAATAATATCCAGCTTTTCTAGGTGCAACACTGTTATTTTGAATTTCTAAACCTCTTATGCCACCTCGCCAAGCCACAGTTATTTTTAAATAAAAATCTTTTTTTCGTTTTCCATCAAGCCCCAGGAAGTACTTTATTTAAAAGGGGAAAAAAATATCTTAGGCTTCTTACTACACATATATAAGATTTTTCATCTGTTTCCTATCACATGTACTGAGCATCAAGGTTGGGGTATAAAATTAGAACAGATCAAATTTCAAAAAAAAGAAAAATATAATGATTTTATTTTACACTGGGTATATTTTTTAAATTTTATGCTAGATTTAAGTTTCAGTTTATCCCTAAATATAAATTATGAGCTTAGATTTCTGAAATTGCCCATTTTGGGATGTATTAAGTTTCACTTCCCTTTTGGGCCCATTAATGCTGCTGTTTGTAATTCTGCCTTTGCTTGTAATATAACAGAGAAGAGGAGTAGATCTGGCCTCCAGAACAAAAGGCCAGTCAGTGGCTGGTTTTTATGGCAGACTAAGTAGTACTAATAAAGCAAATGATTTGAGAGAAAGAACTATAAGATACTTAAATATTTTTAGTATTATCTGACACGTTTCTTAACTTAGAGATATCCTCAGCTTCCCCAGCTCTCAGAAGTAACTGAGTAAACTCAGTTTCTCCCAGAGGTGTTTTCCTGCAGCTCCCATGGACAGCGGAGGCTTCTGCAGGGGAGTAAGAACCTGTGGGGAGACCAGAGGAGATTCCTCTCTGAGCCTGCTCCAGGCTGTGATCATCTCCAGCCATCACCTGCCATTTTTCTTCCATTGAATGAGGACAGCTGAAAGCTGCATCTTTCTAGAAGAAGCTCTTGACAGGCCCACTGGCCCGTTTTTTCTTGCTGTCACCTGTTGGCTCCTGGAACGGTGCCCTGCAGCATAGTGTGATGTGGTTATCCCCATTTCTCATGTCACTGGTGTTCTGTCAGGCTAAAACTCCCTGGAACAGAGCCAGCCCCTGTGATCTGCTTTGCTCCCTGCTCCAGCCTTTGATAGCTTTTGATGAAGTCCCCAAGTAGGTCAGTGGCTCTGGCAGTGTGGACTCACTAACATTTAGGTACCAGGCTTAATTAATTTAAGATAGGTATCACCCCTTAGTTCAGCCTTGACAAGGCTCTGATGCATCTGAACCCCTTGCAGCCCTGGAGGCCAGTCTGAGCTTTTAGTGCCAAGGCTGACAATGATCCTCTTTGTTAGGGTTCTAGATAATAAGAAATAAAATGTTTTGTCTTTGAGGTGATTTGTATTTGCTTTCTTTTGAGATTGTCCTGTTCCTCTTTGTGAGCTGGGTCTTCCAAATGTAGGAAAGCAGTTTACTGCAGTGACTGAACTACCTTTTTTCTTCTTTCTCTGTTTTAATCTTTCATCCTTCTGTGCAGTTTAGATGATAAAGGCAAATTATTACTGAGTGAAGATACAGCTGGAAGCAGCCCAAATAGATAAAAAATACAATGACCCCTAATAATCTTATGATATTTGGATTTTTTCTCAAGTATTTTTCTGCCTTAAGGGACAAAAAATAACAACTAGCTCTGCAGATAAGATCGTTGCTGCTTTTAGCTCACTAGCTCATTTGGCAGATGATTTATACAAGTATATTTACTTCACAGTCATTTCTTTCATAGAAAAATTCCTGTCTCCAACATATTTTACCAATCCTTCCTTGGTAGAGGAGAAAAGTATATTGTAGTCCAGTCCACAATATAAATCTTTCTAACTGATATGATTCAGAAGAATTTTCAAGTTCTTACTCATAAACTGTCTCTGTCATGGTAAAACAAAATTCTAGATTGTTAAAGGTTTTCTGAATATTTAAAATATTAGTTGCAGACATTGACTTTTTTCTAGACTGTTTGGCAGTAGTATTCACCCCAGGCTATGGAGAACTTCAAGGAAGTCGGAGGAATTAATCAAAAATTATATTTTTATTGTTCAAAGTTTGTTGATAGGAAAACTTAAATAAATCTTGATATAAGAAAGGCAGAAATGCTAAATGATAAAGATTAATTTTATTAACCCCAGGATCAGACTTGTTTTTTACACTAGTGGACTGGAAATACTTACTAGAGTGGCAACAGCAGTGACACCAAATACTGAAAATCCAGTAAAACTTCTTTAGTTTTGCAGCATGAACTGGTGCTCCGTGGTTATTTAAATTGTAACCATTCTTGGAACTTGTGGAGCAGTTATTTACTGTCTCTTTCAGTAACTTCAAATGATCGATTCTACTGATGTGCTTTGTGTTTATCCTTTACTGAAACAATTGAAATAAAATCATATAAACAGCATGTGTATCTTTTAAGAAGTGAGTTTTGGTTTTAGATGCAGTCCTCAGCTTTCTGGGTTGGACCTAGGAGTCAAAAATTGCATGACTTGGATTGTAGCTCTGGTTTGTTATGGTTATTTTTCCATGAATATTTCAATTTTCTAGTTTGTTAACTTAGAAACAATAGTAATGTCTGTTCACTTCTCACAGTATTTTAAGATCTGAAGACTACAGAAACCAAATCAAATCCTGCATGTACAAGAACCTTCAATAACATTGAAATGAATGAAATTACTCAAGCATAAAGTTACATTTGTAAAACTTTATACATTATTATATAAATTCTAATTTTTTTTCCAAATTTAAATATGTCAAATACTTAAAAATACTGATATCAGTTTAAAGGATAAGAATATATTAGCTGGGTTACAGCTGAAAACAATGTTATTATAGTTATTGACAATTAGTCCTATTTATGAAAAATTAAAGTATTTGCTTTCTTAGCAAGATTTATAGTCAGACCAATTTGGAACTTGGAAAATTGCCCAGCCCTTTTATGAGAACTAGCATTTGCATTGCTAACAGTCTCATAATTATCTTTTCTTTTGGGGAAATGAAGGTGTTTTATAAGAAGGAAGTAGGAGCTGGCACAGCTGTAAAAGATACTCCAGAGATTGAAAGAGTAAAGAAGAATCAACAGAATATTAGTTCGGTAAGTACTATTATCATAAATTATTCTTATGTGAGTAAAAGGTGAGCAATTTTTTTTTTTTTTTTACCATTTTGTTTACTAAAAAGTTCTTCATTTTCATATCACACATCTCATTCAAATAGTTGTCCACTGGATTTTGTATGTAGAGCTCTACTCTAGCACAGCTAGAACTCCCCTCTACTGTGGTACTTCTGTGTCCAAAGGTAGAGAGTCTAATTGAAACATTAAGAAAAATAAGAAAATATTTTAACTAAACATTTGAGGAAAGTGTTTTGTTCAAGGTTTGTTGATAGGAAAACTTCTCACTCTTAGGAGTGAGAAATATGAGATGCATTTCCCCATATGACAGACTGAACAGCAGTTGTATTTGCAGAAAAATACCATGTGACAAAAGAGAAAATCTGTCATATCCTGTTAGAGACTGCATGTATTGCATAGGACTTGATAGAGTTTGTACTTCAAGATGAGAAAAACTGTGTCCAGGCTTCACCTATGTGAAAAGGTGGAGGGTTGGGTCTTTACGTGCTGGTCACAAGTTGATCTGTGGATCTGATGAGATTAGTTCTGAACTGATTTTTTTTAATCTAAGGATGCCCAATGTCTTTGGCACTTTAATAGGTAGATTAAAATAAAATATCAAAATGAATGTTTTCTTCAAATAATACATCGTGTTCTGCTAAACTTGGAGAAAACCTGGAAAGTGACTGCCAAGCAGCAAAACCCTTGTAAATGTGTTGTTCATTTCCTTTTTATATTTGGTGGGGACTCCTCTGGGGCAATTTTTATGTTTGTGACATGACTTTTATAATTATTAGATTTTTTTTTAAGTAAAGTTCAGAAATAATGTACAGACATGATACTATGTTGTGTTTAAGTATTAGTTAAAATATGAATTAGGGTCTCTGGACACTTATTCTCATAGAATTTCATTGTTTATTGAATAGTGTCAAAAACCTAATTTCCCACCAAAGTAAGGTCAGTAGAGAATTTCCAAAAAATTTTGAAAAGCTCTTATTTTCCTTAAAATTCTTTTTCTACTCTATCCATCACTATTCATCTTGTCATTTTGAGTCACAATGCAAGCTATCATGTGTCCTAAATCCTGAAATAGTTGTATATTAAATAGTTGAAACCTGCTGTTGGGAAGCTGTTGATTTTCTTGATTTGCGGGTGAGGGTTTTTTTTGTTTCTTTGTTTAGTTTTTTTGTTGTTATTTTGCTTTTAAATTTCCAATTACCACAGACATTTATTTCAAGAGTAGTCACACAGAAAGGAGAAGTCTTACTGTAGTGCTTTTTCACAATACATTTCAAAGTGAAATGGAAAAATAGCATACACTGTTCTTGCTGTTTTAGAAATTCTAAATAGTGGTGAAGAGGGAAAAATGAAAGGTTGATCAGTATGCTAGTAAACACATTTGAGGAAAAACCTACCAAGGGAAGTACAAAATGCATTAGTGGTGTAGTGGTACTATGTAAATAGCATGACCTTTACCTTGCTAGTTTTTGTGTGGAGTTAATGTTTTACAAAAGATATTTTATTACATGTAGTGTACTTAAAATTACTTCAGTCTTGTATAATATTTATTAGAGGTATAGCATGCCAAATTTAAAGGCAATGTATAAGAATGTTTCAAATTACATGTCATCTAGAAGGAAATTATATTGTGCAGTAAGGGGGAAATTGTATTGTGTAATTTACAGGAGTCCCAAAGGGAGGGTAAATTACACCAATTCTGAATCCATTAGATTTAAATGTTTTACACGTATTTTTGAATTTAGCCAGAAGAACTTGGGACAGCCTTAAAACTATTTCCTGGGCTAAACAAAACTAGTATGTGGGATGTGAAGCACATTTGCACAAGAAGTAACACCAGGTCACCAAAATAACACTTACAGTACAACCAACCACACAAAAAAGTCCATTGAATCATGTTCTGAAAGTGACCAGATTCTTCCAGACTACATATGTAGGAGGAAAACATCAGAATGGTGTTTTCAAAGCCTAAAATACAAGGTGGTGACAGCCAAGGAGGTTGAGCTTATCTCACCTGTTGTGGTCATTGGTTTGGAAGAAGCCAAGATCTCACAGAACTTTCAAAGCAAGCCACAGACCCATGGGCTGTAGCTGAATTCAGAGGAGAAGCTGCAAATAACGAAGGACTTTTTAAAAACTTATTTATATTGTGGGGCAGGCAAGGTTGGACACAGCACTGGGAAGAAGAAGTGTTTTGGGAGAATCTATTTGTGTTTTTGTTAGTGTGAAATCTGTGAGGAAACCCCTGTGGTATGTCAGTCAATACCACAAAGCTGGGGTCTTATTAAAATTCAAGTAACAGACATTTTGCAGCATTTTTAGGATGAGTAGCACTGCCAATTCTTAAACTTACCTAATACTCTCTATTAAAAGACCCTTTTTTCTACTGCTATGGTGTTTTTGCCAGTCCTAAACTGTCTGGACTGTGATTTTCCATTCCTGGTCTGTACTTTGGGTTGGTTTGGTTTTATTTATTTATAAATTTCAGTCAAAGCAGCTTCCAAGTATGAGCTTAGAGGAAAACAAGTTGTTTTGTCTGTGCTATGAAATTGGGCATTCTCCAGAAGTAACATGTCTTGAGAAGAGAGTGAAAATTAAATGTTAGGAAAAAACTGGTAAATATCTGACAGCACCTGCAAAGGCTTCAACAATCCAGACAACTACATCCTCAACTGTGCATCCCATGTGTTTTTAAAGAAATTCAATGAGACTCTGAAGCCATCCACCCTTTTAGGAGCACCTAAAAGGGCTTGGTTTCTGAAATGGACTGGTAGACACCATAGCAAGTAAATAGTAAGACCAAGTCATTTTCAAAGGGGTGTGGATCTCCAAGTAGTGTATGCAGCACCCCAGTTATGGTGAAAATAGCCACAATCCCATGTGATGTATATTCCCATTGTAAGAGTTTTAGTACATTAGAATTGTTTTAAGCACTCTCTGCTGCATTGCATCAAACAAGATACATCAGAGACCCTTAGCAGACTGTTTTAGAAATTAAGTACAACTGTTGCTTTTCAGGCCAATGGTGTTAGTAGGTGTTAGTAGTGCAGTATGTGTAAGGGTGAGAGTATAAAGTCATAGATGTATTTTAGTGCCTATCTCTCTCTTCTTCAAATTGATAATATTTTTCTAATATCTGCTGTGCAGATTAAATACAAGGAGGAAATTCGGCGTGCAACAACAATTTCTGATCCACCTGAACTAAGGAGAGTTAAGGAAAACCAGAAGAATATCAGTAATGTGTGCCCCGTTTTCATTTCTTGCACAATTCTCTCTGCTGTATTAAATGTGTTTGTGTCTGTGGTGTTTGTGCTGCTTTCTGTTTGTCCAAAAAGACCAATTTAATCAATTAATGGTAATAATTGATTGTCATAATTATAATAATAATGACAATTCCTCAGCTTTGGACTTTGATTCATAAGAATGAGAGTGAAGTATTCCTGTTGAAATAACAATTGTCTGTGTTTGAAATAGAAGAACTGCCAGAGGGTGAGTACTAAGTATTGTGTGGGAAGATGGGATTGATTATTAAGGAACGGTACTTTCCATCCAAATGCAATGTGCTCTGTAGTGATGTCTAGCACACTTATGTATTTCCATTACTTGGGAATCTCTGTTGTAATATCTTCTGACATGTTTGCTAGGTTCAATACAAAGAACAGCTCTGCAAAGCTACACCCATGAGTATCACCCCTGAGATGGAAAGAGTCAAGAGGAATCAAGAGAATGTCAGCATGGGAAGTTGCTATCCTTTAATACTTTGTGTAATTTTTGGGTGTGGAAGATGAATACGAAGTTCTGTATTCTGAAATGATGCCTTCTCTTTAGTCTGGGGGAAATGAATGTATTGTAATGTGTTCAAATTCAAGTAATGGAATTACTTGAAAATCTTTTCTTAGGAAACAATTGTGAGAAGGCTTTGCTTGGTTTGGGAAATGGCAGGTGAACCATCACATATTCTATTAAAGAAATGGCTGCAATGCTTTGAGATGTTATTCTCTTCCTTGGATATTTGCAGAAAATCTTGACCCTTCTTTTTTTTTTTTTAACAAAATACCTGTTTCCAGTTTTATTTTTCTTTGCTTTGTGAGAAATTAGCTACAGTTGTGCTCCAACTTCAGCTCACTTACCTTTCTCCTTCTGGTTCCTCAGTAACCTTCCCATCAGAATTTAGTATTTAATGGCTGAGATAACCATTTGCAGGGGTGCAGAGAAGAAGGCAAGGACTGGAGCATGCTACTGCCTTCCTGCACTGATGAAGTTGCACCCTCTTGATGAGTCCATGAGAGACCAGGCACTCTCCCTCCTCACTGAGAGCTGCCATCAGCAGCTGTGGGTCATGGGTCCACAAATAGCGACAGTGTTTCCCTGGGTGCTTTCTGCTGCATTCACCAAAATAGTTTTGAGTCACAATTTTCAAGAATTCTGTCCCTCTAACTCAGCTTCTGGATTCCTGTTGATATATCTAGCCTTCCTAGAATGTATTCTGTTCAAAAACTGCTTTCCCTTTTTCAAGCCAGTCTGTACACTACTTCTACTCACACTACTACTGTTTACTCTTCAACAATTTTTGTGTTGTGAAAATTTCCCTGGAAAGTTTAAATTCTTTTCAAATCACTGGAATAGCTTTGAGTGAAGATTTGTTAACTTCAGCCATTTCTAGAAACATCAATTCTTGAATAGTCATTTTACCTTTATAAGTGTTAATTTGCAAGTCTAATCCATTTAAAAGCTTACCATAGTTTTAGTAAGACATTAATTTTTCAATTGGAATACATTGATGTGGACAGACCAAAATTGTGTTGTCCTGGAAGAAAATTGCTTAAGCAGTAGCTGCCTTACTGCCACAATGCACTGCAGAATTATGAGTATAATGTATCTGCCCAGTTAACCTTATCAATTAAACCCCGAGAGCTTGATTTTGTATGGAAGCATTTATTTTGCATAAAAATACATGAATTGGTATGAATTTGTTGCCAGAATCTGTTACTAAATATTTACCATATCTGACTTCCCAGCATGTGGGGCTACAGTTAACATTACTTTGCTTGGTCTGTCAATGCCACATCCTGTCCTGATCTGCTTTAGATCCTGATCCAGCCTTGGGTGTGCATTTAATGCATTTAATGCAGTGTGTTTGATTGCAGAGTGATGAAGGGGATATTCCTACAGTACATTTAAATAAATGCATAGCGAAATTAGGCTGGGTTCAATTGGCAGTTGTCTGATGTACTGCACCCTCTGTGTTTAATCACCTTTGAATATGTAATATATAGAATTTAGAACACAGATGGAGAACTTATGGAATTTCTGTGTTTTGACAAATATGTATTTACAGTGGACCTTTCTGAAATTCAGTTTTTCATATGCTCTGCTTGCCTTTACTGCATTACATGTGGCTTAACCCCATTCCAAATATGAGTTATTTCTCTGTAGAGCAAAGGACCAGTCTGGTAAATGCCAGATATTGTGTGCATATGTGGGTATATATCCACAGAAATGCATTAATAAACAGCTTGTACATTAAAAAATATTCAAGGTTATCTTTCAAAAATCAAGTTTTATAAACTGTAATAAACTTCAGATGCATTTTAGCTTTTCTGTTGTTTCCTGGATGACCTTTGAAGTCATGCATTTTTATATAAAACAAGAATATATTGCTATACCTGAAATAGTATGAATATATATTTTATTCTGTTAAATAATAGATTCACTACAGAGAGCAGCCTGGCAAAGCTACTGCTGTGAGTGTCACTCCTGAGATGGAGAGAGTCAGGAAGAATCAAGATAATATCAGCTCGGCAAGTTGTTTGAATCTTTTTGTCATTCAGATTTTTCAGTTGCTGTAGAAATATAAACATGGATATGCTTTTCCTTCTACATTTGCTATGTCAAAGAAAGCCAACTACATCATTCACTGATGAGATACTGGTTTTATTCTTTGAGGACATGGACTGCATATATGTACAACAAACATATTCAGGGAATGCGTTTGCAAAAAAGTAAGTGGATGTGTTGGTGTCAGTATTTTTCAAGGAGAGAGTCACTAGAGGTCAGTAATTCTTTGCAGTAAAGAAAAAGAGGAAATGAGAATTTAACCTCAGTGCAGATGTCTTTTTTTTTTTTGCCATTCAAAACATGGAAGTGTCCGTTCCGTTCTGTGACGTGCCACCTCTGTTAGAGCTGAGTAGTTCTAAATAGGTCCCATTGCTAAATACTAAAGAGTAAGATAATATCTATTTCTTGGCTTTTATGATAATAAAATGTAATTGCTACTAAAGTAGTCTAAGAAGCAGGAGACAATTCTATTAAGGAACAAGGAAGACGTGCAAAAAGCCCAATGGAGTAAAGGATAAGACCAGTTACGTTGCAGTCTGTCCTCAACACTGAAACAACGTTCATGGCAAAGTCACTGCAGATGGTAAATAGAAAAGGTTTCATGCAGAATCACTGTGGCAGAAGAGAATTGCAAGTAATGAACACTTGAGAACTGAGTGTAGGAGTGAAAAGTAGGTTGAATTTGTCAGGGAATATGTCTAAGGACAAAGGAACGGAATCTGACATTGTAACTGCATATATCTTAATCATGTTCTTAAAATGCTCATGAATATTTACCAAAGTCAATTATTTTTGAGGTGTATAGTTGAAAATAAGAGGAAAATCTCATGACAGTTCTAGTCTTTAAATAATTTTTTTAATTTGTGAAAATTAAATGTGTTTCTCCAAGTGACTCATTCACTTTGTTTCTCAAGACTTACAGGGATAAAAACTCCTCTATGTTAATGAGAAAGATAAAAATCAGCCCATGTTGACTGTAATTATTCTGTCCAGAAAATGCCTTATATTCAAAAGCATATGTAGCTGAATATATTTTCTAAGACAATTTACTGTTTAATTAAGAAGGCTTTGAAGAATATGCAGTACTATATATTTTTGTTTCTCACACAATACTTCAAGCTTACCTATGAAAAACAGACACCAAGATATATATTTTCATGGGTGTGCTTTCTTAGCCAATATATAATCTTAAGGAGGGTTGACAGTTTCAATACATGGTTTTTCTCATCACAAACACATGTTGAAATAGGTTTGCATGACTCATTTAAGAAGTAATACTTGGAGTGTGAATACATAGGTAAATCTAGAATATTAACTAACACAGTGCACAGGTCACGGTGCAATGTAGAGCTAAGAGAGGCCATTGGTAGAGGAACTCAACAAGACAGAAAAAACTGTAAGAGTACTCACTCCCAAACCAATAAGTAGGATCAGCTACTTTCACTGTTTTGGGATTTTGAGTGTTTTTTTTTCTTATTTTTAACAGATAATGAACCTTATATATTTACTAGTCTGTAAAATGCCACAAAATAAGGTAATCAGGAGAAATGTGATGTAAGAGATTCAGTACTTACTAATGCACAAAACCCGGAGCCCAGACATTTGTTTAGGAAACAAAATATTCAGATTCTTCCCAGACATGTTGCTTTGTGCTGCTAGTAAAGACTAGCTATTGAATGGGAGTTATAAGCTTTCCAAAGGATTAATCCTCTTGTAAGGATTGAATTCCCTGGGCTTCTCAGGTTATCCCAATCCCACAGACTCTGTGTCTGTCTCAGTAATAAGCAGGTAGCTTATCATCAGTTTTAAAGGATGTTCTAAGTCACAATGGTGTTTTTTTAGTGTTTATCTTATTTTTCAGTTGATAAATGAATTATTTCCCTTATGTCATTCAAACAGTCACAAATTTCAGCTTTTAAATAAATACTTTATTTTTAGTAAGTGATTGGTGGGATAAATGTGCCTTTTGGCCTTACCAATATACAAGCTCATCTGTATCCTCACTGTGAAATAATTTACTGGCATGTGAGTAAAAGGAGAGAACTGTTGGGCATTGTGGTTTGGAAAGTACTGTTGCATGGTGTGATTCTCACCATCCTTCCTACTGTAAGCAAAGAAATTCACCTGTGCTGTTGTTGCTGTTTTGCAGGTCAAGTACAGCAGTGATCAGAGGCAGATGAAAGGTAGACGTAGTGTGCTTCTAGACACACCTGAGCTAAGGCATGTCAAAGAAACACAAAACAACATCTCAATGGTAGGGTACTTTCTTCCTGTGACTAGAGCCTTCTAAGGAATGGCACTTGACTTCCACTGGATTTTGCCTTCCATTAATATAGGTAACTAATGAAACTCTCTCCTCAGGTATGGAAGGAATATTTTCTTCTTACGCCTGTAGAGGGAGTGTTTGCTAACTGCATAGGAGTGTAATGAACATTTTCAAAATACTAATAAACAGTTTTCTAACAGTTAAATGTCAGTTCTTTTGTTTTTTTCCTTTAAAAATGTACACACATCATTTGAGCATCACAATTTCACTGGATTAGGTGACACACTTCACCTTGTGCCTGTGCATGTTCCTGGTTTCTGCGTGACTTTGGTTCTTGGAATGAGTTGTTTTGTGTGCATCAGCTTGTGTGAGAATGTTTGTCAATTTAATGAATTGATGATTAAGTTATTTATAATGTAAATATGCATAATCAGCAGTACTACCTTTATAACTCTTACTAATACTGAGGTTTTGTTCCAACACTTGGTGCTGTAACACTTTCTACTCTAATGTCCTTTTTTCTAATATTTTCTTTTAAAGCAGGCAGTTTAGAATAACTGTTGTTCTTTCTAAAAACCTATTTTTAAAGCCAGTTGACATATGATAAAACAAAAGGGCTTGTGTGATACTGTGCAAGTACTCAAAATTATCAATTTGAATGAAAATGAAAATGCTTGAGTTCTTTAGAACTACTACTGCTGGAATTTTTTTACTGGCAGATGTATTTGTCTGCATCAGTAGACAGCTATCCTGTCTTTGAGAAGAAGGGAATGCACCAGATGACCTCCTGAGGGCAGGGCTGTTTTGTGTCCTGTGTGATAGTAAGATGATGCTTTGCTGCTTAAGCTAGGGCCTTATTCAGTATCAATGGACAAGAAATGCAA